TGGAAGCATTGTAAGAAACGAAGATAAGCAATATTTGAAACATTAAGAGTATATTCTAATATTACGCTGCTGTTATACTGATATCAGAAATGTCAAATGCACAGCAAATGTTTTTACTGAAAGTTATAGAAGAACCAGAATCAAAATTCTGCTCCTTCTCAACTCTGAGATGCTAGAGCTGTTAGACTGAACTAACCAATCAATCGACTTTAAAACACTCGACTTAAAGGAGTTTGAAAAAAATAAAAGGATAGAAAGATGTAAGTTTGGGTCCAAGTGAGAAAGAAGCAAAAACTTTTTCTCACCTGCGGTCATGATCCCAGTGGAGGGAACAGGCACGACCGTGACGTTCTGGGAGGTGTGTGACTGGTGCAGATGTCCCCCGACTCCACTCAAGCTTCCATTACCGCTGTTGCCCCCCCCTCCTCCTGACGAGTTGCCACCTCCTTCCTGTTTGGGGACCACCCGCACCCCAGGCCCCGCGTCCACTGAACCCGGGATGGCGAGCACAGCGGTGGGGTAGTGAGGGGATGAGGTGGAAGACGTAGAGGAGTGAGGGAAGGGAGATGCGTTGGCCTTGTCCTGACCCAGCTGATCCTTAGTCTTGTTGAGGAACATGGCGTTCTCAATCTAGACAGTGGTGGAAAGTATAAAAGGTGGAGTAATAAAGGGGCGAGGTGGTATGTTGAAGGTAAAATGGTTCATGAGGGATAATAGAGGAGGTGAAAATAGAAGAAGAATGAAGAATGGTGAAAAAGGATTTATGGTGCACAGTACAACCAAAAAAGTTCAGATAAGAGTAGGAAGTTAGTAAAATTTTTAAAAAAGAGGTTAAGTATGAGGAGGAGAAGAAAAGTGTGGGATGTGAGGCCAAGATGCCACAAGGAAAAGGACAGAGGAGGTGATATAAATGATAACATTCAGGTTAAGAAAGGGGACCAACATGGGGAGGGGGTTAAAGGAACAAGTGATTGGATTAGTGAGGAGAAAGAGAATCAGAGAATGAGAGAAAAAAAGAATACAAAGGCATGGTGAGATGCAAAAAGTAAAGGACCAATGAGAAAATAAAGAGATAAAAGAGGAGAGGGACAGGAGCGACCATGTGATCAAGTGAATGCATCAAGAGATGTTACAAAAAAAAGTCACTGTTCTTGAATTCATTCAAGAGAATCCTTAAAGAAGCAGTCAAAGTGATAACCCCATTATAACCATGTGCATTTCAAGACATTTCCAACAATAAGGTTGTCTCTACCTGTCCTTGTACAGTGGGGACGGGAGACCAAAAGTATGATGAGTTGAAATGGGAATCGTCCATTATTTCTGTAATTAAAAAGCAACACACTTAGAAAACACCTGTCCTTCCCCTCTTCACTGATTTCTTTTCTTTCAGTGTTACATAAAGGGAGACCATGCATGGCTGTATTCCCTTCAGTACATCCTCTCCTCCAAAGACTTTGATACAAGCATATACCTTTAAAAGAAACTTAAATATAGGGACCAGCTGAAAAACAAATCCATCTTCTTACAGAAAATTTTATACCAAACTAGGTGATGTTTTAAGGCTGATTTCAGCTTCATGATCAAATTTGCAAAGAGGATGTGAAAGGAATCTAAGCAAAGATGTTCATCCCAAATAGGGATGGTGACAGCAATAATATAAGGTTAGCAAATCAGCATGTTCTCATGTTTAGCACCACACCCCCCCATGCACTTCTTAATTTATCTCTTAAATTTGTGTTGCTGTGATAAAAAAAAAATACAATATTGGACAGGTTATTATGGAAATTAAATGTGTAAGTTGTTAAATTATTTAATGCACGTGTGTGATTTTCTTTATTGGTAGGAAAAACCTTCTTTCCATTAAATTTGTCAACACACCATGCATTTATATGCTACTTAGCATATATAATGTTGCAGCAGAGTTAGTTTTGAGGCACAGCTTTTTTAAATGCATGTGAAGAATTAAAATGCCATGCAGTCATATATTACCTCCTTTCACACCTTAGCAAAATGCATGCAATTAGTTACATGTTAGTAAAGCTTATCCCTGTGGGTTATAACAAAAAAATAGTTTCCAAAGAGGCTGGGAAGCCAATGACAAAAACCCCACCATAACAAATCCTTGGCACATTTCATGCAGCACAAGTCAGGGTATGTTTGTTTTTCATGTGCCACCTCTGATCTCTGCTGCAGCTAATTAATAAAATATGGGGAGAAACCAACAAGCCAAATCAATTCATCCGCCATGCTCTAAGTGATCCACACATCCGCTTTAAAAACAGAGGGGCTGTCACAGCGCTGCAGAAAAGTCGATGTTTCAGTGCTCTGAGAGCCATTTTTGAACGACCGGGCACAAACTGGCTCCAAACTGTGGCTAGCGGCGGGCTAACGTTAGCAATGAGGGAAGCTTGCAGGGATAAAATCGGTGTAAACTCGTATTAATTCGGATGAGATGTTTGAATGTTCTGGTGTGATTTGCTGCAAGCTAAAGCGGGCTGAGGGTGTCATCGGAATAGCACACAAACATGGCTAACGCTAACTTGCCTCCATTAATTTTCTCCTTTTGTTCGTTGGCTTGTTCACTCAAGCTAAAACTAGAGGCCTGGCTGTGTTCAAAGGTTTGACCTGAGAACACAAACATCATCCGTCCCTACGCCTCCATTCCTCACTCCCTGCTCATCTCTCTCAGAGAAAATAAAAAAAAAGAAAAAAAAGTGTCGAATAAAAAAAAAAAAAAAAAAAAAAACAAGAGAGAAAAAAAAACGTCGACGCCGTAGCCTCTGTTGGAGACGCAGCTTCATGCAGACTTCCGGCGAAGGGGACGACGGTGCTCTCAGACACACTGAAAATAAAAATTGATTTACAACCGAATTATAACTCCATAGTTAATTACCGGTGAACTGGACTCCCTTTCAACCCCCCCGAAGATTCCTCGGGACGGGAAAGTGGGGAAACTTTGTCCAAATCCGCCCCTCAAAGCTCTCAGTTATGCCTTTTTTTCCTTCGTTTTTTTTCTCTTTTTTTTCCCTCCAGTTCTTTTAGTACTAGCAAAGCCGCACCATTTAACTGCTGCGTTTCCGGTCAAATCCTTCAAAATAAAACAGAAACGGACGCGTATAAAATACCTTTATTCCGTGGAAGTTGTGTTTTTTTTCGTAGGTTATTTAGGATTTTACTTACATACTTTTTGATAACTGAAATCCACATACTTAGGGTTACACATGTATTACATGGGATCAAATTAATAGGAGAATAAATTATTTTTAAAACATTTTTTTTTACTTCCGGTAATAAAGCTGTACTAGATACGGATACATTTTTAGACGGTGTTTCCCGTTTATCTTTATCCCGCACCTCTGCAGGACTCTGGCTTGTATTAAGACATATAACATTACAAACTGTTTATTATTGAACTGTACAGTATTGTTAAAAAATATCGATGTACTGTCTTAAAATATTCTATTTATAATTAAATGCTTTCATTACCAGCCTTTATATATATATATATATATATATATATATATATATATATATATATATATATATATATATATATATATATATATATATATATATATATATATATATATACATATATATATATATATATATATATATATATATATATATATATATATATACATATATAAATATATATATATATAGCTTTTAATGTAATTATTATTGGATTTATTTATGTTTATATATATCTATATATATCTATCTATATATATATATATATATCTATCTATATATATATATATATAGATAGATATATATAGATATATATATACACACACAAATATATGTATATAAAATTATATAGATTTATTTATATATATATATAGCTATAGTAAAAAGCTATATATATATATATATATATATAGCTTTTAATGTAATTATTATTGGATTTATTTATATATATCTATATATATATATATATATATATATATATATATATATATATATATATATATATATATATACACACACACAAATATATGTATATAAATTTATATAGATTTATTTATATATATATATAGCTATAGTAAAAAGCTATATATATATATATAGCTTTTAATGTAATTATTATTAGATTTTTTTTATCTTTATATATATATATATATATATATATATATATATATATATATATATATATATATATATATATATATATATATATATATATATATATATATATATATATATATATATCAACCAATATTTAAATAATTCCTAAAGTTCTAGTTGATCATACATCTGAAAATGGAAAGGGACAGGGATACAAAGCACATGTTTGAGAACTTGCTGAAAGGAAAGCTATTCATGGCCAGAGTTATGTAAAACAGCCAAAATAAAATGTTTTTCCTTTATGTTATTTACTAAATGTGTAGCAGAGACCATGCCTCACATAATGCTACAGGGAAACTTTTATCAGCAGTTACAGGAAAGCTGGGTGGCTGGGAAGACAAATGGTGGTAAATACCAGCTGATTCCAGAGAACAAGCTGGTTGTTCAGGCTTAATAAATCTGTGACAAAAATTGATGTTCATAAATACTTTCCATTCAATGTGATACAACTTTAGCAATTGTGAAAAACAGAGCAAAAATGAGCAAAAATGAAATGTCCCTCTAAAGCTATAAAAAACAACTTTTCTTTTAGTCTTTGTTTACATCTTTGAGTGCTCATATGTGATGTATCAAATAACATGATTACATTTTCTAAGTCAATTTTCCATTCTGATAGAATCAGAACATTGTTTTGTACTTTTGATGTAAAATGTTGAACTCAATTATCCTCAGAAACACAACTGAAAAAGGACAGTTTTGAGTTATAGTTATACGGTTCAAAACATAGAGGGATGCAGATAATTCTAAGACTTATAAAACATAAAACAAGGAAAATGAAACAAAAGAACCAAAATATGTACAAACCAGACAAAAAAAAAAAAAAAAAAAAAATCAAATTAAACAATAAACCACAAACATGCAAAAACGTATGTGTTTCCTTTAGAAATTTATTCAGTGTTTTGGATACAGGACAGTAGATTTTATTAAAACACAAAATACCAGAAATGCTCAAACAGCAATAATATTTTCCATTGTGATTCTATCTGATCTTTTTCACAAAAAAAGCCAGAACATAAATAAACTCAGTATAGATTTATTACATTTATACTCACACATAGCTTATCTTTAAAGTTAGTAGAGTTACCCAAAGTCAACATGTGAAACAGACAATGCTACATGGACACCGTACCAAAGATAATCTGCATAAAGTACATATAATCCTCACATAGTGCCTCTTCTATACGACTGAACTGTGAGCATGAAGCAAAAGAACATTTCCAGGAAACGTTTTAAATCCACAGTGACGCTTGCCAGCTGTGTTTTAGCTATAAACATAGTTTCTAAGAATACAATACAGTTCAATTCAAGTGTTATAGGTGTTGATGCATGCACTAAAGCGACAACATAGAAATAGAATATTCAGTTGAAGAGCCATTTGATTTGGTTTGGCTTCAGTGTATTCAGCAGTGCAAAGTTTACACAGAACAAGAAGAGGCGTCAGGACTGGAGGGGAGGGACAAAGAGGCAGACATATTTGGAATACATTTTGCATACAGCTCTTTTAAACATAAATTTACGATATAAATAGGAAGGAAAATTGCAAAATTAAGAGAGCTAGAAGCTAACAGGTTTTAACTTAGAGAATGCATTAAAAGATGACCATACATAGTTTAGTATTTCATGCAACTGGTTCTATAGTTGAGGTAGAGGCTGACGGTCAGACAGGTTTATGATTTAAGGCATGTCAGCTTATCTGTCATGACTAAAGTGATGTTTCAGGATTTTCCAGGGGTAGATGCACTAAATAATAACACATTATTCATTTAACTCATTTAAACTAATTATTGAAAACATTTACAGATCCTCATTAAAGAGATGTTGGTTTCTCCCATTAAGCTGCAGCACATGACCGGTTTATCACTTTAGTCTCATAATTCAGAGTCTGGGCTTCACCTCTGTGGTGATTTTAACAGAGTTAACTTTAATTATCAATGCAATGCTCTAACATCCACATCACATATGTTTAATAAATGCATCTTTTGTTTGTGAGGATCCAAATGTTTCAGAACTGCAAAATAACTTGACCTTAACTAGAAGTTCCTCCTTTGTGTTCTGTAGATTAGTTAAACCAAACTGCAGAAAAGTTAAAAACTGATGAATGTCTTAAAAATAAATATAAATCACATGTCCAAATTTCTATTTGTTTTTTTTCATTTCTGTTGCTCAACCACAAACATTTAGTAAATAAATCCTATTCCAAGTCATTTGTAGGGTTTTCGCCATAATTATGTTTTAAACAATATTAGAAAATATTCAACCCTGTAATACCATAAATTAAAGAAAAATGTAACAAATTAAAGGTATTAAAACTATTTTTTATCAATATGAGTAACTTACTTTTTCTCACTCTCAAAATCACTGAATCAATGTTCAATAACAGTGCAAAAAATTGAAATATAAATAACTCCGACATAAAACTATTTGATAACATTTTAAGGTTGTCTTGGGTATTATTTAATAATCTGCAAATAATCCAGGAATCTAAAATTAACAATATATAGCTAAAATATGCAAAAATCACCTATTTAGTTAAAACATCACTTCTAATTATTGTTATATCCAGAAACAGCTTTTGAGCATTGATTCTTTTTTAAGTTTTTTAAGTACCGATGTTTCTGACAACCTTTCATTTTTTCTGTTTGATTTTTGAAACGAGAAATGAATTTCCTGAACTATAAAATGCTTCTTTAATAATGGTTTTGAACAAATAACATCTACATTAAAGGAAAACATTAAGGTAATGTTCCTGATTATTACAGAGTTTCTCATCAAATGTCTGGTGGCAGGAAAAATCTTGCAGAGAATACGATATTTGCATCGTATAAAGTCTGATTGAAAGTGCAGAGTTTTCATTTGAAGCTTCGGTGAACCTGGAGGAACTTATTCAAACAAATAAAGAACAAAAAGCAAACAGATCACAAATGATTACAGACTGACTTGAACATTTCTGTTTAACTTTCGGAAAAACTTAAATGAGTAAATAAATAATTCTGACCATCAGAGAAAAGATTAAAAAAAAACAGCTGAAATTGAGAAGAGGATGTTTTCATGTTAGTATGAGACGTCCATGCTAAGATGCACTTAAGGTTTGGCAGCAAGGCAGTAGACAGGGAGGGGGGGCAGTGTTAGAGGTAAACACACACAGGCCTGGTTTAAGCACATAGAGGGGGCCGAAAAACAAGCAAGTGGCAGAAAATGAAAGAAAGAAAAGAATCTTAAAAAAACAGAACTTTAATGAGCTACATTTGTTGAGTATTCCTTCATCACAAAGATCGATTAATCAGAAAAGAACAATAAAATCTGCAATTAGATTAAATCTATCATGATAAAAGTGTTTGACAGAAGAGAGAAAAAAAATTGCATATTAAGATGGTAAACATATAAAAAGACGTGCTGTAAACATAACCCTCTGAAAATAAAGCAGTAAAACAGCCCTGTGAAAAAGTCTGAGCTACCCTTTATTTCTATAAGTTCCATTTATGAGCAAACAGACCTTAGAACCGTCTTCATCAACCTTCTGAAGGTTCTTCTTTGGATTTCTGCAGTTTTCTTTGACTCTTTTTCAGTCTAATATCTAAACATTTACAGATTAATCATTCTCCTTTCACCATGAATCATCCACAAAAATAAAAACTAAAGGTTTAACAGCTTTAAACTCTTCTAGAAATGACTAAAAAAGTAATTTTTAGTGCTGCAAACACCTGAACAGACCACTAAAGTGTCTGGATTCTGTAATCTAACAAAGTAAAGGGTAGTTACAGACTTTAACACAGTGAAGGAAGTTTGCACCATTTGCCACTTAAACCATAAACATCAGCTATAAATGTGATGCCAGTAGTTTAATCATTTATCTCAGATAAAGCTCGACATCATTAACCATAATATACAGGGGGAAAAAAAGTTTCCTAAATGATCAACATGATAAACCAGGAGGGATGGAGCTACAGAGGATCAGAGTAGGGGATCAAGACAGATGCAGACAGACAGAAATCAGATCTGTAAGCAAGGTCATCGGTTTGATTCCCTTCAGCCTGTCCGAGAAGTAACCTGGATGATGGAGAAGAAAGGAAAATATGGGAACAGCTTATAAGTTAGTTCTTCATGGATGGAGGGCAGCTTATGGTTGAATGAGTCACCTGAGAGATGTTGACTCCGGTCAGTTTCTCCACTGCTGCAGGGAGGCGAGTCATGATTTCCAGAACCTCTCCAGACAGCTTGGCTGCTCCTACATCTCCTCCACTGGACACCATGGTCACTTTGTTGGCCTCACACAGAGGCCTGCTGATCTCCTCTGCCATCTGGTGGAGAACAGATGTCATAACATCTTAAAACTGAAAATCATCAGAGGTTCTAAACCATATTTCTAATTTCCATGGAAAAAAATTATTGACCCAAAGTACTAAAAAACAAAAAAACAAAAAATAAACTTTCCAATATCGATTAAACAGGAGTATTACAGCAGTCCAAAAAGCATTAAAGGGGAACAGCTTTTTTTTTTACATTTGGCCCTTGATTTTACGTTATTACATCAGTTTCTACTCTCCAATATGAGTTTTGTGTCATTTGGAGCCGTTATGGAGATATTCCGTTAGGTTATATCTAAGTAATGTCTTCCTATGGGCAACGAGTTGAAGGCACAAACTAAACTGTTCATAATTTATTCTTTATGGTACGCCAGCATTCAGAATATGTAGGCGAATAACTGTCCCCCACACAGCCACAGTTAGATTTTTAATATTTTTTATCTTTTAAAAACGAAGTGGCGCATGTATGACATCATCAGCGCGCCGGCTACCGTTCATTCATCCTGTCCGCTGAACTGCTGCTAGTTTTCCTCACATGCCTGGAAGATGTCTACACTGGAAATATGATCTAGAAATAAGTAAAAATGTCTTAAATTAGGCGTATTTACTCTTCATTTGAGTAGGTAAATAAGATAGTTTGGCAATGGAATGAGATCTTTTACTCTTACAATAAGATAATTCGATAATATGCCTTTGAAATAAGACAATGCAATTGAGTTTTCTTATTTTAAGTGTAAATTGTCTTGTTCCATTGGCAAAATGTCTTTAACCTCCTCAATTCAAGAACAAATTTTAAGAAATGATGACTTATCTAGATTTAGATTTTTTCCAGTGTAGTGCTGCTACCACAGATGATCTCGCTCTCCAAATGGAATCGAACGATTCAGATTAGCTCGCCGAATGAATAGAAGGGGTAGAGCGTAGCCGCCTGTGGCCCGGGCCTCCTGTTAAGACTCCAGTGCGCATGCGTGGCTGACATCAAACACACTTCGCTTTGTTTTTAAAAGATATAAATATAAAAAATGTAACTGCGGATGTCTGGATGTCAGTGATTCACCTACATGTTATGAATGCAGGCGTACCATAAAGAATAAATTATGAACAGTTTAGTTTGTGCCTTCAAGTTGTTGCCCATAGAAAGACGTTACCTGGATATAACCTAACGGAATATCTCCATAACGGCTCCAAATGACACAAAACTCATATTGGAGAGTAGAACATGATGTAATAACGTAAAATCAAGGACCCAATGTAAAAAAAAAACGGCATTCCCCTTTAAGCTCCTATATATATTGTTCTAGAATTGTTCTAGAATAGATTAGTATAGAAAATCTCTTTTTTTCCCATAAAGGGGAAATTCAGGTGTTTCCAGCAGCAAAAGATTATAGAAAAAATTGTCACACAAATGTGGACCTTAAAAAATGTATAAGAATAACGTTCTAGTGAAGAGTTAAAAGATAACCAATAAAACACTGTACTGCAAAGTGTTTTAACAATATAAAACTGACATTTAGCTCTTTATAGCTTAAATATGCCTTTCCATAATCATTTAGTTACTTTTTATTTGAAAGTATGAAAAATCTAGCTTTATTTCTATAAAGCATCTTGTTGATATGTGACCTGAAGTAACCCTGAGTCTGGAAATCACTTGTTTAATAAAACAAAAAAGACAAAGTAAGAATAACTGGGTAGAGCTACATAAGCTATTCAAGATGTTTTAAATTAAAATCATTTTAAAGATGTTTAGAAGAAATGTGTGTTTCACCAGAGGCAGTTTCTCCAGCAGCATGTCCACCATGGCTCCATCTTTATACTGGCTGAAGGCCTCGGCCTTCTTCGCCATCTGCTCCGCCTCGGCACGACCCTTCGCCTCGACAGCGAACGCCTCGGCCTCACCTTTAATCTGAACAGGTAAACAAGAAAGAGAAACTTACCGACACAGAATTTAACTGAAAAACACCTGAATCTGGAAGAACGGATCAATAATGGACAAAACCTGAGTTTAATGAAAGAAAATCCCACAATTGAGAGGAAAACATTGGGCTGTTCTGAAAGGGCCTCTATGAGCCCTGACCTAAATCCTATTGAGTATCTTTAGAAGGAGCTGAAACCGACCATCTAGAAGAGACACCTGGATCAGTTTGCTCATGAAGAGTGAACCAGAATACCCTCTGAGTGGAGCAAACGTCTAATTGACGGTTACAGGAATCGTTTGATTGCAGTCATTGCCTCAAAAGGTTGTGCAACTAAATATTAAGTCAAGGGTACCATTATTTTCTAAGAATCTGCCTGCTGTTGCTGGATGTCAGCGAGTGATGATCAGTGACTCACCCTTATAGACTCAGCTTCAGCCTCTGCCTCCATGATCATCTTCATACTGGAGGCGAGAAAAGCATAAATGGTCAAAGCGGCAAGTTCAGAGATCCTGCATTACTCCCAGTCAGAGGAAACCAGTTTTATGGCCCATAAACACGTCAATATGTGAGATCTATCAAATAATAATAATAATAAAAAACCTTTTGACAGATTTGATACAAAAAAAATCAGTAGGGAATTACTTTCCAATCTTAAAAACAAATACTTTGACTTTTTTTGGTTCCTGTTATTACAGTGAAGTTTGGTGCATAAAATGCAATATTTCAATATTGCAATATCTCTGATAAAAACCTGACCGTAAAGTCCGTTTCTCTCCAGCAGGTTCTGTTAGAATAAAGCTGCTGCTCACCGCTGAGCCTCGGCCAGCTTCTCCAGACGGTACCGCTCAGCCTCTGCAGGTTTCTTCACCTTGGCCTCAAGCTCCTTCTCCCTGCGGATGATCTCCTGCTCCTGCAGCATGATCTGCTGCGTCCGCTCCACCACCTGGACCTGCATCGTCTCCTCCTCGATGCGTTGCTTCGTCTTCGCAACCTGGAGCAAAGAAAAGAAGGAAATCAACATGCATTCATATGTAATATGTAATAAACTCCATTTTAAAGCGCTGCAGATCTCCTTCACACCTGAAGCTGATACGCCATCTCTGACTCGGCCTTCTTGGTGTTCACTTCCATGTCGTAGGTCGCCTTCTTCAGCTCGTAGTCCCGCTGGGCCTTCGCCATGTCGATCTCGTTCTTGTACTGAGCTGAGATCTTTACCTGCATAGCGTGAGCCTCCTGCAGGGGAGATGGGAAGAATCAACAGGATGTCAACAACAGGGGAGAAGGAATAAAAGGACCACCATGTTCACAGCCTTTAGAAACAAGCCGACCAGAAGGCAGAGAACATCCATCACATCTTCCATCATAATAACTCTGAGCAGTAAGGATGAAGCTGCAGGCGTGCAGTAATCTCACCCTGATCACTGCGTCTCTCTTGTTCTGAGCTTCTCCAATGCGGGCGTCCTTCTGCACCTGAGCGGTTCGAGCTTTTCCCAGCGAGTGCAGATAATCCTGTGGATCCCAAATGTTTAGATGCCGATTTCCTCTGATTAAATTTCAATATTTGGTCAAAAGGAAACAGAAGTTTGAAACCTGATCATCGTGGACGTCCTTCAGGGTGTAGCTGACCACGCTGATCCCCATGTTGAGCAGATCAGAGGACGCCACCTTAAAAACCTGCTCTGAGAACTTCTTCCTGTCCTTGTAGATCTCCTATATTAGGTCAAGTTATTGTTATCTTAGGAGCAGAGGTGTTAAGTAAAAAATAATTAGATGAGGAACAGGTTGCTTTACCTCCACAGTCAGGTGGGCGATGATGGCCCGCTGGTGTCCTTCCAGCGTCTCCAGGGCGATCTGAGCGATTTCAGCCTCAGACTTCCCCATGAACATCTGACAGGCTGCAGCCAGCATCTGCTTGTTCTGGCCTTGGATCTTCATCTGCAGGAAAAAGTTGGACATTTATTAAAACAGGAAGTAGATCATTAAACAGAAACTCGGCTAACAGTGACATTTATCCTCCTAAAGATGCAGATTTTGAAACAGCAATTGTTTTTCTATCCTAACTTCCATTAACTGCTTTAAAAGATATTACAAAACTTAATATTGGGTCATTTTTAGAAACAAACTCCTCTACTAGATGTAAACATATTGAACTGATTGCTCCGATGACTGATAAAAAAAACACCTACACTGGAAAAATGACCTAGAAATAAGTAAAAATTTCTTAAAATAAGTGTATTTACCCTTGATTTGAATACGTAAATGAGATAGTTTGCCAATGGAATGAGCATTTTACTCTTAAAATAAGATATTTCGATAATATGCACTTGAAATAAGACAATGCAATTGTTTTTTTTCTTATTTTAAATCTAAATTGTCTTGTTCCATTGGCAAAATGTCTCTTTTAGCTCCTCAATTCAAGAACAAATGCACTTATTTTAAGAAAAAATGACTTATCTAGATTTGGATTTTTTCCAGTGTATAAGAAGGTTTAAAGCTGTTTTTTCCTCCTAAACCAACCTACTGTGCTACATTGCGCCGTCTGAAACCCCCTGACTGACCTGAGCGATCCCAGTTACAGAGATGGGCACCCCGTGGCGGGTGTAGACCTTATCGCTCTTCACATTCAGAGTCAGAGTGTTCAGAGAAATCCTGGAGGAGCAGACAGAGGAAACACTGATAGAGTGGAAGTGGCTCTAATGGATGCTGTTACTGTTGTTCATTTCCGCTTCCTTTCTGCCATTGGTGCTAACAGGCACTTAGCAGATGGAGATAGAAACCAGCTGCCACACAGAATATTAAAATGATCTTTATGATTACATTGTGAAATATGTAAATGATAAATAAAATGGGACAAAATGTGAAATATAGACCTCCAGACGCCTATGGGATCCATTTCAACCATCATTTTAAAGGAGGAAATACAGGGTTGATAATAACAGTTCAAATAAAGATGGATGTTTTAATAATTACATAAATACAGATTGATCCTATACAAGGCAGGTCTACCACTTCTAATAGAGAATCAGTCCATATTTTATCTTTAAAATCAATTTATTTTAGAAGTTGTTGAATTTTGTGCTTCATTCAAACTCTGTACCGTTTACATCCTTTCTGTTTGAATTGTTTTAGCAAAGACCAGTGATGTTTAATATGAGTTTAAGACACGTTAACATGAGGAATTTTATCAAAGCTGAGTTTATTTCTACCTCTGTATCTTTTGAATGCAGGGGATGACAAACACTCGGCCTCCAGGGATCATCACCGGAGGAGAACGGCAGAAACCTGAGAGGAAACAGAATTATAAATCATATAAAAATATACACAGATATTAGGTTATTTATGAACAGATTCATCCTAAACCACAAGTTTTATCACCTTTCTGGTTCTCTAATATTAAACTTTGAATAAAAAAAGGAGCCAATAAAACCACTTTAAGTCAAATGTGTAAAATAATTAGATTTATCCCACAGGAAGGAAAAGACAGCTGCGGTTCTATTAGAGGTAATAAATATTCATGCAGACATAGATAGAGGTGTTACCTGACACCACCATGGCTTCATTGGGACCACAAGTGTAGAACATGTCTGTTGATCCTTTTTCTGACTAAAAAAGAAATTAAATAATAAAAATAATCCAAATTAACTGGTTATCTTTAGACATGTCAAAGAAAAAGCTGTTGGAATAACATTAACAGCGATAATCATTGGTTTTAGCCAATATTTTAGCACTAAAGGCTTCAGAAATGATTAATAGATGATGTTTTCTGAGCAGCATCTCAAAGGGAGGAGCTCTGATGGGAAACAGAACAGACACACTGGGAGGAAATCTAATTTACGCAAAGGTTGCGGACAAAGACCAGAAATAAGTGCAAAGAAAAAACATTTTTCCTCACTTTACAGCCACAGATTGTAAAAAAAGAATAAACGTTGACATAATAACCAATTTCTTAGCAGCTAACGCGTTATTTATCCACCAAATCCATCTATTTTCTTCCATTGATTTCTGTAGAACCGATAAATGATGCAAATGTGAATAAAAACCTACCGCTGGTGGAAATAAATGATGTTTCTTCGGTAGAGAAGAATCAAATCGCTGAGCAGGAATCAATTGTTTGGTTAAATGTGATATATATATTATTGGAACCTAATGTTTACTAGAGATGATGGAGTAAAGCTGCAGCTCAGCGTCCGAAGAGCAACCAGCCAACTGCGCGCGCGCCATCCAGTGGCACGGTGGGGTACTGCAGCCTAAAAGCTTGTCTCATAAAACAGCACAAGTTAATTTGTTTTCCTTAAATCTGTTTTTCTTTAAAGAGGAAAAAGTATTTACTTTATTTAGCTTTCAAAATATGTTAAAAAAATTAAAAGAGTAAAAATAAAAGTAGATTTAATAACGTAAAGTAAAGTAACTAATCCAGAACAAGACATTTTCCAACATAACAGAGAAACAATAAATAGAACAAATAATTGATATTTTTTAAAATGGACAATAAGTGAAAAGAACCTGATTGTTAAAAGTTAAAAGGTTTCTTTTTTTAAATAAATTGTTCAATTATTTTGTATAATCTTAAAAACTTTACCTCTTAGTCTAATTGTTTTTCTTCAATTTTCCTTGTGATATAGAGCTACTGCTGTGCAGTTAAAAGTTTACTTCTGTACCAGTTTCTCATTAGTTTTGGATGCAACAAATAAAACTCTATTAACTTAAAAAATTAAGTATAAGTGATATTAAAATATTCCTTCTATCAATAAAAAACAACAAAAAACAATTCTGTTTTTATGTAATCCATATCTTATATATTTGTAACTGACATCTTCTCACCAGTTTTTATTATTTATCTATTAATTATATATTTTCTGTAACGCTGAAAGATACATTTGCCAAGATTGGTGTTGCTGAAAGGAAGTAAAGGCTATGTGGAGAAGCTGTATGTTTTAGAAATCTTTTATATTTTACCCTAGTCCTTTTATAGATGTTTATTTTTTGTTTTAAATTGTGCCAACAAATTGAATTTGTTTGAAAATGTAATGCAATAAACTGGAATAAATCAGTTATTCCTGCCAGACGTACAATTAGAAAGTAAAGAGACAAAAAGACAAGGCAAACGCAATCATAAGGATAACAGTGAAAATAAAGGGGACAGTAATTATCAAAGCACTTTACTTTGAAAACAACACCGACCTCAGGCCAAGACATGCTCCTGACATCTTTAGAAAAACTCAAAGTTGAAGAACAACAGAGTGTCTTTGGTCAAAGTAGGTAAATTCACCAGTTCCATTGCAAGACAGTCTGTTAAAAAGATCCTTCCTTCTTACAGCCACCAACATCTACAAATTTTTGAAAAAAGAATGAGTTTTACAACATTTAATTACCTTTGGCATTGATAAATTTTTCATTGTGGAACAACAATGTTTATATGAGAGGTTAAAACTGAATTTAGGCAGCAAAGGAAAAAAATTTGTTATAGAAACACTTAATTAAGAAGCATGATTTATACACATGTGACATTGTTAAAAGACTCAGGAAAATACTTCTTGAATAGCACTCAGAGCAAACAATATGTGCCTTAAATTAAAATTAGTTTTGGCTTCTAATGCAAATCAAAAATGTGGAATCTGGAACACATAAACATAGATTCTATTCTATTCTATTCTATTCTATTCTAATGTAGACACTGAATGCTTCTGGTGAATAATGACGTTTTTAAAACAGAGATGGGTAGAGAACATAACAATTTTACTTAAATAAAGAAATCACCATATGGATATATTTTACTCGAGTAGAAAGTAGTCATCCAATAGACTGCTAAAGTAGGAGTAAAAACTACTTGTTAAAATGGCTACTCAAGTGCTGAGTAATTGCTAGCTCTAACATCTGATTTAATGTTGAAAATTATGAAATCAGACTGAAGTTCCTGCAAAAAAATCCAACTTAATGATGTGGTCACAAAACAAGGAAATCATGCAGAATAAACAGTTATCTGAGTAAAAATGTTTGGCAGAGTAGAACCACTTCTAAAAGTTTTTGTTTCTAGAAATTACTTAAGTTAATTTAATTGAGTAATTTTACTAGCTACTACTAACCTGTTTTAAAACAAATAAAATCAATGAACATACTGTTTACTTTTCATTTAGAATTGTCATTGTTTGTAACATAAAACTTTGGATTGATCTAATAGCTAACCCTTTAAATTAAGTTGATCCTCTTAACAGCAATATATTTATTTTTATTTGTTTAATATATTTATAAATCACCATTTATATTCGCTCCTGCTATTAGAAATAACAGCCGCTGACTGACTGCTGGAGCAGAACCAGCGGTTCCAACGGGGCACTGATGACAAACTGATTTAGACCCTTGCCTAAAGGACAAGGAAACCCCTTAGAACCCATCCACAGATTCCAACGGGGCGGTAATGATGAAACGGAAATGCTTATTCTCCGGCCCTTGCCCGGACGACGTGGAAACCCCTCATTGACGTTTCCTCCAATCAGCATCAGGCATACAGCAACATCAACCAATCAGAAGGGGTCGTTCCGTATTCTGCCCCGCCTAGCGCTGAAGTCCTCCTGTTGTATTCAGGTTTTTCAACAGTCTCTTTTCTCCGGCAGACCGGTCCGGTCAGTAGGTCAACCTCAGCTCAACAGTTTCACCCTTTAGTTCACATTCATCACTGCCTAATATTAACCATGAGGGAGATAGTTCACATTCAGGCTGGCCAGTGTGGCAACCAGATTGGAGCAAAGGTAGGAAAAAGTTACAAATTAAAAGTTGGGGTTAATTTTTTAAAATCTTTTGTTTTGATATGCTAATATCCTATAATTCCAATGTTATAGACATGACATTTTATGTGTCTAAGCGTTATCTAAAACATTATGTAGAGTTTGAAAGAAGAAAATAAATCGTTATGTATGTTGTTTAGATTTTTATGAGCTTTTTTCCTGCTAATCTTCATTATTGATTGCAAATCAATCAGTTATTTAGAAACTAATGACATCCATCCATCCATCCATCCATCCATCCATCCATCCATCCATCCATCCATCCATCCATCCAATTAGACAAACTGCCATAATTCCATGTATAAAGTGACATTCAAAAATTAAAAAAGCTGTGTAATTCTGGTGTAATTATTTGATTTATTAAAGCACAACAAGTTGCACTCAACCTAAGATCTATCTTTGAATTTTCTTTTATTCTTTACAATAAATCAGTTTATTTAAAAGCTTAACTTAACTAAGTTAGTATGTTTCTTATTGTCAGTAGCTTTCATTTAGTAAACATCAATAGAGTAAAAATTCCCTTTAAATCCTTTGGGAAACCCTGACAGAAGCCATGGAGCGATGATTAATGAGTTTAGTCAGACTAACAGGACCAGCTGCTGTCTTTGCTTGTTGGTGAGATTTTGGTCATTGAAGTGGGGGGAAAATTATCTCATTATAGGGTGGAAAAGGAGGAAATGTGCTGAGACAGAGGAGAGGAACGCAGTAGGAGGAGGGCGGACAAGTGGTTCAGTGTCTGCTCTGGCTGAGAGATGAGCTCATTTAAATCTCTGCCTTTTCACCCACTTTATCAGATTAACATATTCAGGACTCTGGTCCTCACACATGATCTCTGTTCAAACAGAGATTCTGTCTTTTGTGCAGAAACTTTAAACAAATTGCATTTTATCTTCACTTCTTCCCACACATTTATCCATAATCTATTTAGCAGAACATAACCTTTAAACCTAACACCAAGCTATCCCTTTAAAATCTTGTGTGTGGCCTTGGTTCTTCTTTAAAATCAGCTTGAAAGCTGATAGATAACAGCATCAAATAATAAATGCATTCATTCAAAGGCTCGTTTAGCTACAGGGAAAGGCGTTGGAGCAGCATATGGTGGAGTAGGAGGCCCTCATCTCTTAACAAGTGTATTTACAGCAGACTTAGTGTGGCTGAGGTCATTAATGTTTCACAGTGGATTAACTGCCGGAATCCACTCGCTAAACCAAAACCTCTCAGCTGTCGGCTCCTGTTATCAAAATACAATAAAACAAAGATTTACAAAGTTGAAGAAACAGGTGATTCACGTCTAGCTAATAAAGATATAACTCACTCCATACAAATAATCTCACTTTAATTAGTTTATTATGCCAGTAAAAAGATATTCAGTTCAAGGTTCCTGCCTGTAAAACGATTAAACATCATTAGTTTACTTTCGTTTTGTTTTAAAAGTACTTAATGTGAAGATTTAATTTTACAAAAACTGAAAGAAAATGCTCTGTTTATAAATGTATATAATTCTGATCTGTAAGCTTCAGTTTTATTCCACAGCCACTAATGTAGCCTGTAGTTAAGATTAGGGTCAGCCGGCTGAGCTGCTGTGACAGTGGCTGCTCCTAACTGGGTTTGGCAGCGACGTCTCAGGCGCCAAAGATGGAGAGGAGCGCTGAATCCTGTGACAAAGCTCAGCTGATCCCTGAAAAAAGCGCAACACTCCGGCTTGGTTCCTAAAGAGGGAAAAGCTCAGAACAGAATCACATTTTTCATCCTGTCACTTCAAATCCCACGTTTCTCTCTACTGAGCCTTCGCTCTACAAGTTTAGTCAGTTTGTTAGAGGCCTGCCCTGCTAACTGAGTTAGCATTGATGCTGTCATGGTGTCAGAGCACATCTTTAAAGTAGGACTCAAACGCTGAAGGCTCTAAAGATCTGTAAAATCGGTTCCTTAATGTTTTTATTAGATACTTTGTTAATTCACTGGTTTATTATGGAGCTTTTATTCTTCATTCATGAAGTTAGTTTATCCCTTTGCTGCGATTTAGATCAAAGTGAGAGTTACTGAGGATTTTAACAATCTTTGGATAGAACTGGTGTCGGTGTCACACCTGATCCATCCCGTTGTCTTCGATTTTATTTTGTTAAAAAGACCTAAATGACGTTTTCCCTCCACATAAATTGTTAAAATATTAAAATATAATGTGTTAAAGGTTAATAATGTATTACCTGAGAAAATAAATGCCTTAAAATCCTTTCTGTTTTATCACTCTCTGCTCTTTCTGCACCAGAAATTGGATCCAACGCTACTTCCAGTGGCTAACTTTTTCGGTTTTGGATTTAAACATAAATCCTTTTAGTTTTATGTTTTCCTTTCCTTTTAACCTTATGCTATAATCTAAAGATGCTATAATCTAAAGAAAGAAACAAAAATGCAGATAAAGATGGTTTAATCATATTTTTGCCAGACTGCTCTGAGCATGATGATGATATCAGAGAAGCAGTTTAATGAAGAAAATGTAAAAAGCATCAAAATCATCTTACAAAAGTCATAGAACATTTTTTTAAATATGTATATTAGCATTATTTATTAAGTGATTTAAGGATAGAAATAAGTAATTTTAGTACCATAATTACATTAATTGCTCACGGGACGGATCGGGTGGTGACAACATGTTTGCAGCTTCTTCTACTTCTTCTGCATTATTAAATAAAAATGAATCAAATTAAGGTTGTTTATACTAAAAATAGCTTCTGAGCAGAAAGTGCTTTTTACATCTTAAAGAAAATAACATTTGTTACAGACCTGGTTCTGTTTTCAAGTGGTCTTGTGATGCCATCATGTAATTAACTTTGGAACCTCTGAATAGAACTCAACTCTGTTTTGTTGTTATTTTTTCTTTAATAAACTCCGTACCGACCCCATCAGCTCACTGACTGTAATCTGATTCATCTGATTCTGATGTTTTCTGCGCCTAACGGTGACACGTTTGTCTGTCTTTAGTTCTGGGAGGTGATCAGTGACGAGCACGGCATCGACCCCACAGGAACCTACCATGGAGACAGCGACCTACAGCTGGACCGCATCAGCGTGTATTACAACGAAGCAACTGGTGAGTTTTTTATTGATTCTGTGGGTTCATCTGTCCAAACTCTGCTTCATGTTTAAGATGATGGACTGATGTGGCCCCCTTGTGGAGAAACAGCTTCACTGCAGCAAAGGATTAGAGACATGCTGTATAAACACTGAGCTGAATTTTAAAACAGTGACTATAAATGTGAAATACATCTTCATATGTTCACATTAGATCCAATTTTAAGAGTCATTCCACTTTAAAAAAATCCCTTTTGATTTTTTTTTATGTGTGTAAAATTTGAAATCTGATTTATAGAGAGATATACTTTTGCTCTGCCACACTGAATGTACCACACATTCAGATTATAGCTATATGTAACTTACCACTTTAAAAAATATATTTTTATGTGAACAAATGTGCTTATAATCCAATCCTATCAATCTATTTTCTTACTATTAATTTTTGGTTAAAATCAGTATAATATGGCAGTATAGAGCATGGCAGAAGGCCCCATAAAACAAATACAGTCAAATATTGATTAAAGTCATACGATTAATTTTAACCACCCCTGCTGGGAATTCTTTATTTTAATGAGTGGCTCCATCTTGTGGAAAAGTAGGGTATTACATGAGTTCAACAGGAAAATGTGGAAAGTCAATTCTCTTTGTTTCTTTGGATTTTTTTCCCTGCAGATTAAGGTAGCATTAGTTTAAAACTGTCTGAATTAGTCAAATATATAAAGAAAATTTATAGAAGAACCTTAGTCTTGAGCATCACCAGTTCTGTATTAAGCCTTGCTGTTTTTTTAGCTGCTTAAACTGGTCTATTTAATACAGAACTTCTTATTTAATGCTTTATTGTTTATATAAATACCTGAAACATGCTTTATTTGTTTATTTGTGTTCAGGAGGAAAGTATGTACCCAGAGCCATCCTCGTTGACCTGGAACCCGGCACCATGGACTCGGTCCGATCGGGACCCTTTGGCCAAATCTTCAGACCTGACAACTTTGTCTTTGGTTAGTAATGAGGATGGGTTGTCATTATGGGACCATTTTTATTTTAGCTGATAGATCAGTTTAGGATCATCCTCAGTGACAAACTTTCTCAATATTTTAAGGTTCTGGCATGTCTAAATATTTTACATGTTTTCCTTTTTTTCCCATATTAAAGTCACATATTATTAATTAAAAAATACCAACAACAATCCTAATTGTCTGTTAGGTCAGAGCGGAGCTGGAAACAACTGGGCCAAAGGTCACTACACGGAGGGAGCGGAGCTGGTGGACTCGGTCCTGGACGTGGTGAGGAAGGAGGCGGAGAGCTGCGAATGCCTCCAGGGCTTCCAGCTCACCCACTCCCTGGGAGGAGGCACCGGCTCGGGCATGGGGACCCTCCTCATCAGTAAGATCAGGGAGGAGTACCCTGACCGCATCATGAACACCTTCAGCGTGGTTCCCTCCCCTAAGGTAACACACATCCCTCTCCTATAATCTACAGAGATGGAATAGTCTCATACATAAAACCCTCTTTGCTCATATTTCATCTTCCATCAGCAGTTTATCAAATAAAATTTATCTGTAGATTTATGCTGGATGATTATTTTCCTCTGGTGGTTTAAATCAGGAATTAATTGCTTCATTATTTATGAGCCTTTCAGTTTATGCTCAATTTGTTGATTATTATATCGACTGAAGTATAAAATGCATTAGTCTTTTTGACCTATGTTGGTTTTTCACATCACTGATGGAGTTGAGGCAGTCATTAAAGGTGGGGTATATGATCCTGGATAAACGGTTCCTGCCAGCTACATTTTTGAAAATACACACCTTCAGCCCACCCCACGAAACCACGCCTCCAAATTACATGAACGCGCCTGCTGTCAGCGTCAAGGAGGATAATACTTTATAGTGCCATGATAGCAATCAATATTTCAGACGGAGCTAGTAAGCTAGAGAAACATGCTGGGACATTGCATGTAGTCGACATCTTTGACTTTCTCACTAATGTGGTAAATAAGAAGTAACCAAGTATTATCTCAACATATAAGAAAACATAACGTTGTCTTACCTATCGAGTAGAAACAAGGCCACCTTAGCATCCGTCTGTAGTCCCCTGTCTTCTTTCAGTTGACGCCAACGTTGGAAAGCTGTACCGATTACCACTCTCGTCCTGTTTCGTTCTTCTGTAGCTTTTATCCTAGCTGTTGCTTTTTCAAGCACAGTTTTGCCTTTTCTTTTCGAACCCGTTGTTGTCGTCTTTTCTGCCATAGTCAATATTCTCTCTGGCTGTGTGAGATAAATCTGTGGAGTTGGGCTTGATAGCTAGCTAGCTAGCTCTCTAGTAGCATTTGAAGTTCACGGTAGGGTGGAGTTACCTGGGGGGGGGGGGGGTGTCACGAGTCTGTGAACGCGCAGGGGGGAGGGGTGGGGAGAGCTCAGAGCTGACGGTTGATGGGCGTGCCAGAAACCAGTAGAAGTAGGGATGATAGTTACTTCTATTGGTTTGCGTTTTCCTCTGACTACGCCCTCTACACTGGACTAAAAGATTTCGTTTTTTTTTCCAAACATTCTATCTCAGTTGGCGCAATGGGCTCGTGAGGAGGTTTTCAATCAGTATGGTAAAAACATGCTCCAGAAAACATCACATACCCCACCTTTAAGTCTAGAGGCTCTATTTAACATTTTAGGGGTTAGCATCATGTTGATCCAACGTCCTGTTAGTTTGCAGCTTTTGCTGCTAAAATCAGAAAATCTGACCTCTTTAAAGCATTAAATGAATAACAGTGAAAGAGACGGAAATGTTTTAAAGCATGTAGAAATGCAAGATGAAAACATTATCTTTCATTTTAAATCCAAAGGAAAACAAAACAAAAAAAGACCTGCTAATGCTGCCAATAAGAATAAGAGTTTCTAGTGACAGAAACGAGGAGCATCAGGGTCATAACTAAAATCTGAGAGGTTTAGGATCCTGGTAAAATGATCGATCCTCAGGAGAAGTTATTTTGTCTGATATAATATTTGTTTTAAAGCTTTAATCTAATTTATGGACAGATGCTAACCCTTTCAATGGAGCGGTTTGGACGAGGAAATGATTTTATTCAGTTTAGAAAGGATTTTAAACATGAACCTTTTTATTTTCTTCAGCATTTTTCTACTTCAGCGTGTTTTGGGTTTTCCCTCTTTTTAAAGACAAATATTTCTCTCATAATGGTGATTAAAATTAATGTATGTTTAATATAAACCTGTTCTGCACAAAAAGAGTTTTTTAAAGCACTTCAAAAAACAATTAAGTAATAAAAAACTTAACAAGAAATTACTTTGCTAAAAGGGAAAGTCACTGATAAGAAAAACACTAAAATAATAGAAAATTATTCAGTTATTGAGAAAGTACTTGATATATTTATACATCGGAATAAGCAAAATACATTTTTTTCTCTTGTTTGAAAACAATGGGGTCACATCAGCTGGTATATTGAAGGAGCTGTCTATAAGAACTCATTCGTGTAACGAAAAGCTTCCACTACTGTTGTGTTTGCCTGAGAAAACTAAAAGTACCTTCTATAACTTTGACTTATACTAACTTTGTTGTCATTTTTTTTACACACAGCGTATACAAAACGAAATTTCGTTCAGTACAGTTTTCAAGACATTTCCATTTCTTAAAGTTCAGCAGTGATAAAATGTAAACATAAGACTGAGTGTTTCCAACATTCAGCGCTTTTCCACCCCGTTTAATTCAAGATAAGATATAAGAATACTATGAAATGTTTCCCTCTGTCAAAAACATAAAAAAAACATAAAGTGCATTGTATCAGCATCACTTGTAAGCAAAACAAAATAAATGTTACTAGACCTATAATGCAGAATAGTTCAGCAGTAAGTTTGGTTTATCAGCTTTTAAGGATCGATAAAGTGAAATATGTAGTGGTATAAATAACTCATCCATCTAGAGAAACAAACAAATGAACATTTCTGTTTTTAAAGATACACACTAAAAAAAATAAATACTTTGTAAACAAACTATGTTGTTCATTAGTGCCCCCAGCTAATAAACAATGTGAACCAGAACAAACAGAGTAAAGTTCTTCTTTGGTTTAAAAAAAAAATTCTTTCATGATAAATTCTAGTCATATCTGAATTTTCAGAGGTTTCAAAAGTATTAATGTTTATGAAAGCTCAAGTAGAGTAGAAATCCTACTGTTTAGAAACACTTCTATCAACTAAATAATCAACTTAAGCTTTATAATTAAGAAAAAGTGTAAAAGCACAATTTTTATATTTACTTAAAATATAAAAGTAAAATTTTCTTAGTTTTATAATTAATGGTAACAATGTTAAAATGTATTTTGCATCATCTTGGAAAACTATTTATTTTTGCTATGTGGTGAACAACAAGTTGGGACAGCACCGAGTCCAACCGCAAAGATATTGTCTGGGTGAAACAAATTATTTGGATGGATTTAATTTTCTTTCTTTTTTTTATACCAACAGGCCATAATGAAAACAAGGTCAAATGAAACAAAACTAATGAGTCTATTTTTAGAATGTAAGGAGTAGAAAGTAGAGTTAATTTAAAAAATATATAAGGAGTAGAAATAAAAAGTTGTCTAGAAAAGAATTACTCCAGTAAAGCATAGATATCCAAAATTTCTACTTCAGTAAGGTAACAAAGTATTTGTACTTTACTTGACACCTCTTTGAATTTGTAATGAGAAACAACGTCTTAGATTTTTTAGTTAAAGAAGTTAAAGTACACATTTTATTAATTTAAGTCTTGATTAAAAAATAAACAAAAAGAACTCAATAAAGTACAGATCGTCCAAAAATAGATTAACGAAGTAAATGTGCTTATTTACTATACGCCTCTGTGCATAAAATGAACCCGTTTGTTGTCAGATTGTGATAAATTCCCTTTAAAAAAAATAACTTCTTAACGCCAAAAGTGCAGCTCAGATGGTTTGGATTAAAAACTGAAGGTAAACTGTTCTTCTTTCGTCTCTTTCTCAGGTGTCCGACACGGTGGTGGAGCCGTACAACGCCACGCTGTCTGTCCACCAGCTGGTCGAAAACACGGATGAGACCTACTGCATCGACAACGAAGCTCTGTACGACATCTGCTTCCGCACGCTGAAGCTGACCACGCCCACCTACGGAGACCTCAACCACCTGGTGTCGGCCACCATGAGCGGCGTCACCACCTGCCTTCGCTTCCCGGGCCAGCTGAACGCCGACCTGAGGAAGCTGGCCGTCAACATGGTGCCCTTCCCCCGCCTCCACTTCTTCATGCCCGGCTTCGCGCCGCTGACGAGCCGGGGCAGCCAGCAGTACCGCGCCCTGACCGTGCCCGAGCTCACCCAGCAGGTGTTCGACGCCAAAAACATGATGGCGGCGTGCGACCCGCGCCACGGCCGCTACCTGACGGTGGCCGCCGTCTTCAGAGGCCGCATGTCCATGAAGGAGGTGGACGAGCAGATGCTGAACGTGCAGAACAAGAACAGCAGCTACTTCGTGGAGTGGATCCCCAACAACGTGAAGACGGCGGTCTGCGACATCCCACCGCGCGGCCTCAAGATGGCCGTCACCTTCATCGGCAACAGCACGGCCATCCAGGAGCTGTTCAAGCGCATCTCCGAGCAGTTCACCGCCATGTTCCGCCGCAAGGCCTTCCTGCACTGGTACACGGGCGAAGGGATGGACGAGATGGAGTTCACCGAGGCCGAGAGCAACATGAACGACCTGGTGTCCGAGTACCAGCAGTACCAGGACGCCACCGCCGAGGAGGAGGGCGAGTTCGACGAGGAGGTGGAGGAGGACGCCTAAAGAAAGAAAGGGGGGAGAAACGGGAAAGAAAACTGTGAAAGGATGGAGAGAAGGGGTCAGAACCAACGGAAGGGCCAAACTAAAAAAAAACGACCAAATTCATGTGCCAAATTTATCATTTATGTTTTCAATCCAGTTTGAACATTTCAAATATACAAAAATTTTAATAAAGTCTAAAAAAAATACAGAGATCAGAGGTAGAGATTAATGGATGAAGGTTTTTAAGGTCGATGCCGATAATTTTAACCTCATTCTAACTGATCCCTGCTGATTCTAATGGGTTCATTCTTTCTCTTCCTCCTTTTCCATTAAAAACGACACAATAACAAATTTCTACGTATCTAGTTAAAAATCCCCCACAAACAAATCAAGCAATTGAAAGCAACAATAAATGTGCCTTAGATGATCTGAAGGCATGGCTACTGAATGGACCAAAGCATCTAAACGAGAAATAATATCAGTTTACTGATGTATCCATCTGACTAACAGTCTCCTCATCTGGTTCTTCTGGCATTTAGGAAACAGACCAAAGTTTATTTGAATTTAATTGGCACTTTATCAGATCATAAAATCATGTTAGGCCTCCCTTGATTTACTTTACTTTTTGGCTTTAAAGGTGTAATAATACCTGAAGAAAACAGTGAGCAGGGCATTAAAACCTAAAACCACGCTGGTCTAATGAGCGTTTTCATGACTGAAGCGTGACATCAGATAAAAACCACAGATTAGTTAATCTTCATGGCAGAAAAGTTCTTCTCAGATCAGTTTTTCCATCTTTCTTAAAGTTTTCTGATCTTTTTCCTGTAATAAAATCAGAAAAATGTTTTTTTCTTTTCGTTTTTAAATCCCATTTTTATCAAAAATGTTAACATATCCCAGTTGGGAGACGATTCTTTTTGTGACGCTTTTAGATTTCTGATTAAAAGCATAAAAGCTTGTTAATCTCAAAGGGTCTCTTTGTTAGACGTCTGTATGTCTGGTTCTGATTGGATCGGGTCAGAAAGGTCTTCAGCCTTAAAATGAGCCCCAGAGATAAGAGACGAAGCTCCTATCAGGGTTCTGTTATCTCTGTTCATTGACGTCTTTATCTTTGAAGATCCGTGTTCTGTGGGTTTGGGTTGGAAGTTCAGCATGATCAGAATTCAAAGAGGAAAATGTTCTTTATGATCAGATCCACACGGTTTGTTCTGATTTTGTGAAAGTCTGGGTAAGATTAAAAAGTTCTGTTAACATCTCTGATCGTTTCACACATCAGTTCCAGTTAGCAAGTTTAAACCCTGCATGAATGAGGAAAACAGAACCTAAACATGTCCTGAAAAATGTGAAAAGTTTTATACTCCAGTTGTTTTCTAGTTGCACATTTTAATGTTTACTCCCTAAACCACTACAGTATTTTAGATCAGACATGTTTTTTATATTGGTTATAAAATATTCAGCTATTTTTGTTTCTGCTTTTTTATTTAATTTCCCCCAAAACCCGTTTGGCTCTGCCTGATTTAGGACCTTGACTGTGAAATATTTGGGAGAAATAAAAGGCTTTTGTTGGAAGGAGAAACTTTGTGTTGTCTTGAGTGTTTTTCTTTTTTATAACTTTTAACATGAATGTAGAATGTTATTTTATTTTGGAAACCTTTATGATTAAATGTACAGTTTTCCATCATAAACTAATCAAACTGATCAGCAGTCAGGTGGTGGTTTTCCTGTGTGACCATCCCAAGATGTTCAGAAGCAGAACCTCATTCTGGATTCACATCAGTTTTGATACCAGACATCTGAAAAATCCTGACCCATAAGTCTCCTTAGTAGAAGTAAATCCATACTGCTGATGCAATTTATAATGATTAAATCCATTAGATTTCCAACAAAGTGCTGGACAGGATCCAGTGTCTCTAAACCTAAGCTAATGGGTTAATAAGCTGTTGCAACATATACAATTTTCAAAACGTATTTTCTGTATTTTGCACCAAACACCAAATTTTGGGATAATATATTTAAAGTTATTTTCCTCTGGAGCCTCTCCAACATGATTTGACTTGTTGAAAAAAGAAAAACAAAAAAACAACTCTAATATTAGATTACATTTCCAACTACATTTCTAGCTTGTAGGTGGAAGAAATGCTGGTACTGTGGTAAGGGTTGGTGTGCAGGACAGACATCCATGCATGCATACATTCAGAGTAACAGTAGATTATATAGAGCAGAGGTCTTCAACAGGGGGTCCGCGACCCCCATGCAGTACCTCTGCGGACCCCCTAGGGGAAAGTTTTGGTCGTTTAGACTTTTCTTTTATATTCCCCCCTGCGATTATTTCCACTAATTGAAATGTCTTTAAATCCACATTAACATGAATTCAACACACTGTAGTTAACAGATAAATGGAGGCAGAAGATGTCTTTCAGTCATCAATGCACACATTCAGCAACACACAGGAGCTCTTTCTAGCTGGGTGTCGTTTCATTCACAACACCTGTCCCATCAACCAGGAATCAGAATCAGAAATACTTAAATAATCCTAGGGAGGAATTACTTTAGTTACATTACTCCATCTGTAATAGAGTGACTGTAGCGCCAGTTTGATAGAACACCATTTCCTACTAAATATAATCAGGGGGTCCCCGCTCCATCTGGCCATCAGTTTGGGGGTCCTTGGCCTGGAAAACGTTGAAGACCCCTGCTATAGAGAGATAAAAAAAAAAAAAGCAATATGACAAGGTTGATCTTTGGCTTTGGGAGGAAGCTGGAGTAACCTGGGAGAACCCATGCTTGCTAAAAGAGACCAAGTAAAATTCAGGCTTGATAAAAACCCAAGATCTTCAAACTGCAAGTCAACAATGTTGAGAATGAGGTCACTATTTACCATTTTTATGGATATTTGTTAAATGTTTGCTTTAGTTCACTAAGATATTTATTCTCTCTGTAAGAATGTCTGAATCTAATATTTGTAATTTGCAATTTGCAGCCTCGTCCTGCAACAGTAAAACTACTGTCTGCTATTAAATGCTTTTATATATCAAGGAGGTCTTCAACAGGGGGGGCGTGACCCCTAAGGGGTCCGTGGAGGTACTGCATGGGGGTCGCAAAAGTTTTGGTTGATTAGACTTTTTGTTTTATATTCTCCCCTGCAATTTTTTTCCACTAATGGAAATGTCTTTAAATACACATTAACATGGATTTAAAACACTGAAGTAAACAGATAAATGGAGGCAGAAGATGTCTTTCAGTCATCAATGCACACATTCAGTGACATTCAGCTCTTTCAAGCTGGGCACCGTTTCATTCACAACACCTGTCCCATCAACCAGGAATCAGAATCAGAAATACTTTAATAATCCTAGAGAGAAATTACTTTCATTACATTTCTCCATCTGTAAAGGACCAGTTTGATATAACGCAATTTCATATAATATATATACGTATTTAGGGGGTCCTCGCTCCATCTTACCATCAGTTTGGGGGTCCTTATCCTGGAAAACATTGAAGACCCCTGATATAGCAGGTTAGACCCTGCAAGGGTTAAAAAAACAGCATGTAATTTAATTAATGCTTTTCCAGGATATAGAAACCGTTTTTAAAAAGTTTGGTTTGGCTAGTTAACTTGTTAATATTGCTTTTATATAAAATAATACTTATCAAATAAAATATTTGTATTATGCTGCATTTATCTTTGGAAACTGGAGTTGAAATAATTGCGGCTCCAGTGATTTTAGTGTTTAGTTTTTCTTATCCTGTTTCATGTGATCATATTATGGAAACTGTTCTACCTCTGATGCATCATTAAGTCTTTGTAATTCTATATTAAATTTAGACTTTTTATGTCCAACAAGATGTAATATTCCCCGGTACAGTTATTTTTACAGCTTTTGGATTGGTTTGTGATTCACTACCCTGAAAATGAGCCCATTCAATAGCTGAGATTAATGGGATCCTTAGAAAAAGCGGCATGAATCAGAAGATCAGGACCCTGGACAGCAGCCATGAGCGCCGAATCTGAAGGACGGAAGTTTTTTTTTAGGTCACGGCCTACTTCATGCTGTGTGGTGGTGCATGTTTATCCCAAACAGCCATAAATAAAAGGGTTAAAAGTCTGCAGTCCAGCTGTGATGTCAGAGAAGGATTCCCCTCTTCTGGGTCAGAACATCAGTTTGCAGAAAGCTGTCATGGTGGCCTGAGGCTGAACCGCAGAGCTTCTCCTTCCAGACCGGCGATCCTCTCCGAAGTTTCCCGAAAGAAGCCGAGCCCCGGAGCCTCCACACACCCGCCATCAACCGAAATCTTCATCTTCACGCCGATCCCCCCCCCCCTCCATGAGTTGAAGTCTGCCGTGTTCGGGTTGGGGGAGGTGGGGAGGACGACATTCATGAAATACAGAAAAAAAATCGCTTTCCATCCATCCTGAGCCCCTCCCAGCCCTCTGACTGCCGGATCCAAGGCTTGAATAAAGGTAATTACCCTCATTTATTTATGAATCCATGTTCAAGCAGGAGATTTAGTCTAACAGGGAGGCGGTGGGTTAAATTCTGCAGCTTTTCTTTTATGGTTCTGGAGTATTATAGCCTGGATTAAGCGGCACCATTCGGGGGATTCAGGGCGTGAAACCATCAGGAGCAACATTTTCTGGGAATCTTTTCAAGGAAAAACCAGTTTAGGCACAAATGACTGAAAATCCTTTCATTTTAAGTGGGGAAACGCAGGAAATCCACTCAAATCAGTGGAAATTACGCACCGATATCTTATAACATTGAAGTTTATCGGATTTGTTAAATTAAACTTGTTTTAAATCCATTGTTTGATTTTTAAAATGCAATAAATCTGAGCTTTTCCCCCCTACGTTCAGATTTTTCAAAGACATGGCGGGTTTTCATGTATGTTTGGGATATACCCACCCCTCCATTGGGGGGATTTTCTGGTCCATCCTGCTGGAAACGGTTACGCAATGCACTACGGCACACATTCAATCTGCTGACTAAGGAGCTTATTTGTTTTTAGAGCCAAACGTGAGAAAAAAACGACTAATAATATTGAAAGAACATTGGATGGAAATAATGATCAATGAGAGGTTTTGTTTGCAAATTAGAATAAAATCAGTTCTTATTGATTTTCTTGTAATCTGATGTAAAAACGTTTTATTTTTTCTTGCTGATCATCTGTTTAAGCTGGAAATGTGCAAAGCTTCGCCCACCATGTGTCTGTGGAGGATTGAGAACCTGAGTAGGAGGAGGAGAGAGAGACACAGCATGCTTCGCCTCTGAACACAAAATAAATGCAACCTTGCATTCTTCATTCATGCCCCTCAGGTTTCCGCTCCCATTTCCTCCATCCTCTGTCCACATCCACGCTGGTCACGACACACCCCTTTGCAGAAGGAGCAGCTGCTGCTGGATGCTTGGTTTGGGGGAAAGAAAATGGTAGAGGGGATGGAGGCAAAGCAAGGAATAAGAAAGGCAGAGGGGTCAAGTTACTAAGTATGAAGTACAGTACTAAAGCAGCTTTTTTTTTGTTCTTTGTACTTTAGTTGATTATTTACATTTACTTTTTACCAGGGGCGAAATTAGGAAATTTGGGGCCCTAGGCAAAGACAGACAAGGGGCTCTCTGAATTGAGAAGACAACAAATAAAACAGACCCATTATACAGATACAGAAATGTTAATAGAACAGACATCCATTATCTGTTCTAGGTTTTGTCCCTCTCTTCTTGTCCTTTTTCTTGTTGTTTTCCTCTCTATGTTTTGTACTCAGCTGACTTTTCATGATGTCTCAAATAGAATGAAAGTTTTTTTCCAAGCACTAAGTTCACTTAGCTGATTGCTCCTTCTCCTTCTAAAAGGCGGCGGTAAAATTAAATAACCCAGTCCTTCTTTTCAATGTAGACAAGCCATGATCTGCTTATCTGTTCTCCATTTTTCATTTGGATGAAATAATAGCTGCATGAATCATGACAGCAGACAAGTTAGAGGAGAGCAGGAGGCGGGGTTACCAATCTACTCGCTCTGGAGAGCAGAGTTCGCTGCTTTTAGATTTTGTTGCCAAAGTCTCCAGTAGTTGAAAAAAGTCGCTAGATTCAGCACTAGGCACTTTTTTGTAATTAAAGCGCTAGAGAGGTGGAAAAGACGCTGAATATAGCGACAAAGGTGCTAAGTTGGCATCACTGTTTCTTTTCAAATAGTTTGCTGCTGTCTGTTTGGATCTTTCTGAACGTGTGCAGCAAATTAGCTTAATATTATAAGCGCTCTGATGCCATTTTAGTGAAAGGATTTTTATCAAAAACATAATTAATATGCACAAATAAGGAATAGTTGTATCAATCCTACATGTAAACAGAGTTTTATGGGGCCCCCAGGAACCTGGGGCCCTAGGCAACTGCCTAGTATTGCCTAATGGTAAATCCCTCCCTGCTTTTTACTCTTACTCACTAAATTTATATACAAATATCTGTTTATACTTTCTTCAAACTGGGCTTGTTAATTCTATAAATATTGAAAACAACAGCAGCTTCAACCAAGTAGAAAGAAAATCAAGAGCAGGAAGATTAGCTTTTCAGTTGGAGCCCTGTTTGTTTTGAAACACATTGCCATCCATTCCCCTTTTATTAGATTTTAAATTTATTTGTTGATTATGTTTTAGTTTCTGATTCAATTGCTTTAATGCTGTAAATACAGGAGCGGCAAAAAGTATTCAGCTGTTTATAGAAATATTCAACGTCTAATAAGTTCAATCTTTGTTATTCTGTCTGAAATTTTATTTTTGCACAAAACCAGTCATTTACCAACACAGTCAGCAAAAAAATTAAAATTTACATATTTTCTGTATGTAAAAATGTTTATTTAAAAGTATGTTTTAAGTTATTTTTGTATCACTTAAAGCAAAAACTTATTTTTGCGTTTTTAAGTACAAATACAGTTTCACTTGTAAAGAAAAGTAGTATTAATACATTTGGTTATTTGTAACTTTATTAAAGAATAGAAGTACTTCTGACTCCTCTACTAGGAGGTAATTGGGGTGTGTAATTTCTGTACTATTCATAGCCCTTTAAGCTCCCCCCATTTTGTTAAAGGATTTCATAATAGGGCATAATTATGAAGCTCTAGGGAAATGAAACATGGCTCTAAAAAAAAAAAAAAAAAGTAAATCTAAAGTGTGGCATAGATTCAGATCACAGCCCCGCCCACTCAGTAGAACCACCTTTCACTGCCTCCTCTCTTTCTCTTCCATTTTAATTTTTAATTCTTGCATTGGCCAATTAGGTTTGGACTTTAACTAGGCCGTTGTGGCAGACTAAATCTTTACCTAAAGTACTGCTTTATGTCTTGGCTGCTGCTAGAAGTTCATCTCTTCTCTATACTTAAGATTTCCAGGGTTGACCTTCGCTCCTATCCTTACTAAAAAAACTCCAGAAATCTTGATTTATGCAGAGATTAAATTAAACACACCAAAAATCTGAACGTACTAAGTAACATTTTAAGGTTTCAATGCATTTTCTTTTGGAATATCTGTGTAAAGGAGCATAAATACATACACATTCATATCACTTTTATATTCATTTACATAGAGTAAACCATGTCCATCTGATGGATCATATAACATCCCACTACAGCACATTGTGGTTCTTTTTCAGAGGAAACAGGATTTTACTAAGGTGATATATTTCTGTTAAAACAATGCGTCTTCCTTTTTTTTTATTGAAAAGAGGATAAACAAATAAATCAGAGAAGCATTTCACGACCTTCCCTAATGCTTTTGGAACAGCTATGTAATGATTTTGCAAGAAGGAGACTAATCAGATTAGCTGCAATGATAGAAAGTGCTCGGTGCAAGGAGAAAGCATGTCAGAGCGTGAGCGACTGTAGAGGATATTTAATATTAGTCAAGCTTATCTCAAACCCAAAGCGTCAGACAGAGTGTCCTCTGAAGGACTCAGGAGGATAATTAACCCCAAAGAAGGGGTTTGGGAGAATAACGCTTGGGTTTATTGGAGGAAGATAAGAAATAAAGACAGAGAGCTGACGCTGTAACAAGGTTAGGATGGGAGCTGCATGTGTGGCTGCAGCAGAAGAGGCTCTTAAACCGATCGTTCAGGATGGACTGATGGGAGCAGACAGAAAGATGTAACCTCTGCGCCTCGTTGGACGAGGCGGCAGCTGGACGTCAGACACCTTTCTGTTCTCCACCGATCGGGTCATCTGAAGATACAACAGGATGACAGGAGAACAAAGGATGTTTAGATTCAGGGCCTCAGATGGAAATCACACCTGCAGACAAAAGAAGGAAGGTTAAAGCATCCAGAAGCTTCTATGGAAAGTGGTCCTCTGGAGCTGTAAATGTAACTTTAATTAAATCAGAACCACTTCAACACACCATCCATCTTAATTTCCCCTCGGTTCAGACTTCGTCCTCTCGCTGTGCTTCCTTGGGTTTTGTTTAAACTGCCTCTCTGTGACTTTCACTCAATTCATGTCTAATCTGCAGCTTTTTGCACCTTTTCCCATTTCCATAATCAGCTGCGACCCCTCATTTTCCCGTCAGACGTGGAGTTTTCTTTGTCAAAGACGTCAAACTTTTGATTCGCAGCCTTTCAAGCTCCCCAGCTTGAAAACTCTTGCAAGCAGGAAGCTAATGGCTCCATAGAACGTTAATGTAAAATGTATTCAAGCAGCTTCATAGGGCAGCGATTACAGAAATAAGCCAAGATTGCTGTGTTGCACCAAAGTACTAAGAGCCTCCTGAACAATATCAGGCTGTTATTTCTGTTGAGAATATTTAATGGCTCTTTCATCTAAAAATACTTTAAATAGGCTTTTTTTTATTTCCTGCTGGTCTATAAAACTTAAGCTTTGCTTTTCAAGTATTTGAGACTTTATTTACCCTAATAAACTCCACAGGTTGCTTTATTATAATATACAGGGATGGAGGAAAACTTTTTTGCCTCCATTGGATTTGTGGAGGAAAATAGGAGCTGGGTTCTGCTAAGTAAATGAAGTGGTACGCAGTGTGAGCAGCTGTACAGAAAACAATCAGGGTGGGAAGGAGAACAAGTCTGTAAATGGGGTTACTTAGTTTGCCCACATTCATTTTTTCTTTTTTTTTGTTCAATTGTGTAGATTTAAATTAGACTAAAAGGATTTCTGAATCTGGTTAGAAACGGATTATTTGTATAAAACCCTAAAACTGAAGCAGATCGAAGTCTTTTTCATTGATCTCTGTTTGTGCTCGAGAGTTTGGGTTCAATAGAAACTGTTTTAGCAGAACCGAAATAGAAGGGAGGCTGAGCAGTAAAAGGAAGGATAAAGTGTTTGAAGCAGTGAGGAGATGTCAGTTTACATGCAAACAGATCTATAGTTGTCCTTGATCTTGTGCAGAATGACTTGAAGTGTTTGAATCAGTAGTTTAATTTCACTCTAAACAATTAAAAAAAATTCAACATTCAATTTGTAAAATTGATTGAATAAAAAAAGAAGCTGCTGCACAATTACTGGTACAATCTTTTAATAGTTTTTATTATGCTCCCATTTTAAGATAAGAATAAGTTCTCATCTTGTATATTTATCTCTCAGAGATAAACACTCTATGAATGAGAGGTCCAGTTCCTTTAGCTACTGGTCTGAAGATGGGATACATATTGAACTGGAAATCAGGCACAGGAAAGCTGATGGACAGAAAATCCCCAAAGCTCCTAGTCAGAGAACTCTGATAAAGATTTACATCTTGAGAAGATCAAGCATCCTTAACTTCTTAGTCAGAAAAAAGCTTTTATTTTCTAAAATCAAAAGTATAAACATATAATGTTATCTAAACTTTACTTTATTTTGATCTGAAACACGGTGTACACTAAGTTTCTGAACAACAAACAGAAGGCAGGTCTGCTGTAACACAAAATATGAATATGTACAACATTTGAGTAATGTTTACTGTTAGGTGGTGGATCTATGATGCTGTGGGCTGGTTTCCCTTCTATAGGCTCAGGTAACGTCTGAGAATGCATGGCATCAAGACTCTGTTAAAGTACCAGCAGGATACTTTATAATAATGATTGTTTTAGTTACTTTTAATGGGACAATAATCCCAGACGTAGGGCATAACAAATATAGGAATGCTTTTCCAAAACTATGGACATTTTTCTCCCAGTCTACTTTAATCCAGATGAAATAGATTGAAGGGAAGATTAAAAACTTGAGGAGACAGAACAAAAGTTACAGTCCGGTCCTCAGAGGCTTCTGTCCTGCAACTTTCAGATGATCCAACACACCGTAATGAAACGGCTAAACTGTTTCCTCAGCATGAAGTCAGGTTCTCCCAAATCTAGCTAGAAATCTAATTTAATGGTACTAAATCCGAGACACATCTAAATGGAGTTCGACACCTATGATCTCCTTCTCTCTTCTCAGTAATCTTGTGAAATCTTCTAAGGAAAACACTAAGTGCTGATAAAACGTATAAAGAAGAAGGACCAGCAATTAATTCACAGGTAGCAGGAAAAGCATAGGTAGAAGCAAAGGACTTTCCGACTTTCCGCCTGCTGAATAAATGTGCTGAAATCATAGGCTGAACCTTTTAGAGTGAGATCATTCTGCTGGAATAACAGATGGAAACCAGTAGTTGAATAGGATAGAACTTTACGTAAGTCTCTATTGTTTTTATTTATACTCAGATTTTAAGTCACCTTCTTAAAGCATCAGAATGTTGGTTTTCTATTGGATGCATCATTTGTATTCATGTTAGCTGCTAGCAATGGTAACATCCAGATGGATTCAGAGAAATAACTTTGTTTAAACTGGTAAATTATAAAAGTGGTTCTTAGATTTGTTTGTATCCTATCAGAGGGTAAAAGTGTCTCCATGGCTGCTGCTTCTGTAGCTTCAAATTGATCCATCCTTAAGTTTTCTCTCTAAATGTCTCTTTTCTGTTAGGTTCCTTTTCTCCGCAGTTGCGGCATTCAGCGATGCGAGTTATGTTTTGTCTCTGCATGCAGCAGGAAGCCATGCAGTTCACCTCAACTCCACGCTTTAAGGACTTTTAATCAACTTTGCTTTAATAATGTATTGTGATTTGACTGAAGCGATAGATTTTGTTGCCAAAGGGTCCTGGCATGATCAGACGGTCCGTGGTGCAGAGCTAAATCTGCCAGAAGTAGAACAGACTGATTAACCTACAGTGCAGGAAATAAAGTATTTCCTTTTTTTTTTTTTTATAGCTACAGTAATTATTTCCTAAAACCTAATATATGCTGCTCTCAGTATTTACAGCCACTATAATTTATTTGTAATAAAAGACAGGATGTCTTAAATCAGTGGAAGTTTGTTTTGCTTTCCAGGATTGTTTCACTTCCCTTCTGCTATATATTGGAAGGTTTTCTTTCAGAATTTTTTTAAAAATATTAATTAACTTTTTATTTTAATCACTCAGACTCAAAATCATCATTTTCTTTAATTTAATTGAATAAACTGATTGATCAGGGTAAATCGGGGTAAATAAATCAGGGTATTTCTTTCTCATTTCACTGTAAAATATGCTTCTGTTGCATAGATTTTTAATTCACATAAATTGCACCATAACTGTTGTGTCAACTAATGAATACATCTCCAAAAAAATATATTTTTTTTTCTGAATGCGTTTTTAGAGCCAACCCGATGCTAAATAAGTCTTCATTTGCTGTTAATTGTCTTGGTCTTTCTGATTTGCAGAGAGGTAGAGCAAGATGAAAGCAATCGGAGCTGCGGTACTTAGCGCCGTGTTCTGCACCGGTAAGCACAAACAGAAGCAGTCATTTGGGAGGAAGTTTAGATAAATGAATGTTTGAAACAGACTTCCTTCGGAAAACAAGCTTAATGATTTAAGTAAAAAACTCTCCATTGAAGCTAAATGAGGTTGTGGTCTGTTTTTCGTTTCCTCTCGTTTTCTTTCTGTTGTTATGGAATATTGTAATCAGACTAATTTTGGGCAGCATTTACATTTCAAATATTTTCATGTTTAATGTAGAAGTTGTTTGCTTTTCAGAACAAAAGAGCTGATTATATTCTTTCTTTCTTTTTTACACAGTTGTGTCAGCATCTTCTAAAGGTAAAGCTGCTTGTTTGGATGATGATGCAGGAATAAAAGAAAACTTTTTAAAAGTTAACAGCTTCCTGTTTCTCGCAGTCAAAGATGAAAGCAGGACGGCCTTCTTCGGCGAGGACGTCCACATCGAGGTCTCCTCCTGGAACGACTCGGACGTGGTGTTCAAACCCAGGACCAACAGCTCCTACGAGGTGCATGTGCTGCGGGCGGGACGGGTGATGAACCAGAACAAGTCTGAGGTCAACTCTCTGGGCCACGTGGTGCTGAAGGACGTCCAGGAGGAGGATGAGGGGCTTTACATCATCACAAGCAGCAGGAACTCCAGCATGGTCAAACACTTTACCCTCACAGTCAGAGGTAGGCTTCCTGCAGAGAGAGGAGGCTGCAGGAGATTCTGCAGCTCCTCCAAAGAAACTGCACCTCTTCTGTTAGCATTCGGCTAATTAGGCACTAAATAAAGACATGCAGCTTCAGCCTTTCTGTGATTTAATCTGGATGATAAATACACCAAATTTTTTAAACAGATAATCCCCATACAAAGCTTCAGCAGTTAAGAATCGTATATCATTTCTATTCTCTGCATGTAAGAACATTTTTGTCAAAAAAAAAAAGTACAAATGCATGAATTTCTCAAACTCAACACCGTTAAGCATAGTTAGGGAAAATAAATCATGTTGAATAAATAATGTTTATATATTTCCTTGGTATTATTGTTAAAACAACCTTCTCTAACATCAATTAGGTCATAACTGTTAAAGAAAGACTATTATTCAAGTTAAACAAGTCTGACCTCTGCTGGCAGCTGATTTAGCTCAAAATTCAGAAAAGTTAGCATATTAGATAACTAAATAGTTTTAAATAACAGAACGACTGAATGATGAATAAATAAAGTAAATATAACAGAAAACTGTGTCAAATTAACATAAAAAAGGAAATTTTAATCGTTGTGACAAGAGTTTTAAAACAAAACATTTAAATACCCAAAGTACATCCATAAAGATGAATCAGTTATTCGTCATTTGTCAGACTGACCTTCAGCACATGACTAATTTTAATCCTTCTTTGACAATAATCTGTGTCTCTATCTTTAATCCTCTTATATTTATTAATTCATTTATTCCTGATGATCAGACTGCGCCTCGGAGCAGGTGGTGAAATATGGCGATACGTACATCATCCATCTGAGCCGCATCGAAGGCCCCATCACACTGGAGTTCAGGTACGTTAGGAAACCGAACCCGTAACAAACATGGACTCAGTTTGTTTTACATGTAAACATCTTAAAAGTTTGGAATGCATTTGTGTTCAGACCTATTTAGTTGATATTGATGACCAACGTTCTATAGGTGCAAAGGTCTTTATGAAACGACTCCAGCTCAGTCAGATGAGATGTGAGTGTTTGCTCTCGGTTTATTTATTGAATCTAAATGTTTTACTTTGAGTAGGCCTGTCAGGATCTGCAAGTTGGGTATTGGTTGTGATTTGTATGGGTGATGGCTTGCCATACATAGTTATTTTCTTTCCATTTGGGGTTTTCCGTACAAGTTTTTTTTGCTTACATGTTTTCTAGGTGTTTTTTTAGTTTATTTCTTTTGCTTATTTTTATGTGTGTTTAGTTGGTTTTGCCTTTACTTTCACTAGACTTTATTTCAGTTATTTAAAAGATTCTCCTTGGTTCCTTGTTTTATTTTTTTACTATTTAATTATTTCTCTCTCTGCCAATTGTAGATTGTTTATTAGGTATCATCATCTTGCTTTGCTGCATTTGAGCATCTAACTGCATTCTGGTCCAAATCAATGATTAATTTATTTGATATGAACGTTACATGTACATTGGGTAACCAGATGGACTGATTGGGTGTGTTAGCACAAGCGCTACTTTTCAACATTAGTCCATAGAGGGGCATTTAGGACATGATCACAGTTACACTATATCTAGAGAAAGAAAAAAACATTTTAAATTTATATTAATGTGAATAAATCTGTCCTGACCTTAATCACTGTTTTGACGCTCTAATAAAGACGTGACATGGCCATTCTAACACATTTTTACTCTTTGCTCTGAACCAGTCCTTTAAATATCTGGCTAATTACGAAGGAGACCCTCTGACCCGCTTTCATGTCTTTAGCAGCCTTTGTCGTTTTCCACCAGGATCTTCTTGTTTTTTTGCTCCATTTATCTTCCCACCAAATCTGACCTGCTTTCCATTCTCAGCTTCCCAACATCATGATGCTGCCATCACCCTGTTTCACCCTCCATCTATTCTTCTGCACAAAGACAATGGCTGTCTCCGAATGTCCACCCTTACCCCTAAATCCCTCAATCACTATATACACTGCAAAAAACATCTAGAAATAGGTAAAAAATGTCTTAAATTAGGTGCATTTACTCTTAATTTGAGCAGGTAGATAAGATGATCTGCCAATGGAATCAGTATTTTTACTCCTAAAATAAGATAATTAGATAATATACACTTGCAATAAGACAAAGAAATATTTTTTTTCTTATTTTAAATGTAAATTGTCTTGTTCCATTGGCAAAGTGTCTCACTTACCTCCTCAATTCAACAAAAATGCACTTAATTTGAGCAAAAATGACTTGTTTAGATTTCCATAGGGGACTATATATTGGACTTTATAGTGAACTCAGTTAACTTACCGATCGGAAAGACGATCACTGCTTTTCGCTCCCCGTTGGTCACGTAACTCCTCCTCCACTGCGCGGTGCCTGCGCCATCTTTGTTATTTGCCACCGGTGTCAGAGACCAACTGCGGGCCGCTGTGGCAGCAAATCCCATAATGCTTTGCGAGGAATTCTGAGATATCTGCTCTTAGTGACCATGGATGATCACTACTTTTGAAGGTTCATTGTGTGAAATTTAGAGTCCACTACTTTTTCAACCCCTAGATGTTCGTGCACACATTTAAAATGGTGTTACCACTATATAGTGTCCTATATATAGTGGTTAGGGTGGATCTGCAACTCCACCCAGGTTCCTGCAGGGCTCTGAATGCTCTCTGTTCTTAGGTTGAATTTACAAACAGGAGGTCTGTTTTAATGAATTAACTGGCGCGTGACGGCAACTGGTTTAAGGGCACTTTATTTAGGGGAATCAGAGTAAAGTGGGCTTTAAACAAATGCACAAATAGTTTTTTTTAATCAAATTTGCACTAATTTGTGTTGGTCTGTCACATAAAACTCTAAGAAAAGATTGTTTAGTTTGTTTATTTCACTAATCAGCATATTTTTACTGACTGGTCTGTTTCGGTTTAAATATCCACTAAATGTGATTTCCTGTCTTAAGGCCCACTCTGGTCAGAATCAACCAGACGTTCGTTCCGTACACCTCTGAGCCCCCGCCTGTGCTCCTCTACAACAAAACCACGGTGCTGGGAGAAGATTACGTGGACCGCCTGAGGGTGTCGGAGAGGCAGGTGGTTCTGCACTCGGTTCGGATGACGGATGAAGGAAGCTTCACAGTTCTGGACCGAAACGGTCACACCAAGATGAGGAGCTGCCTGAACGTCAGAGGTGAGGAGGCGTCTGAGCTTCATCTGCAGCTTTACAGATAAAACCTGATCCTTAGTCTCATGTTTAAAAGATTAGCTGTAATAATCAGTGGAGAATTTTGCTCCTTAATTATTTTAAAAAGGTCAAGTTTCCAGATTTTCTTTTTTTATTTCAACTTCACCTAAACTAATACTGTGCCCACTTTAAAAAGGATGGGGCTAATCTCTAAAACTTTTTCTTTTCTCCGTTTAAAGTCGATCAGTAAATGTTTAAACATTTAAGCTCTAAACCAGCAGCTTATGGACTCATAAACAAGGAGAAACAGATTTCAACAGAAGAGAGAAACTAATTTATTTACATTTATCCAGAGATATGCATCAGAATCACACATAAACATGGAGGAATGATGGGAACAGCTGATGCTAAACAGGACTGAGCAGGTGCTCCATGGATGATGAGTCCCGTCCTGCAGGCACCCAAAGCAGAAGAGCAATAAACAGCAGGTACAGAGAGGGCAACACAAAGACAGGATGTTTGTCACAGTTCATCCACCGCTCAGCTGCTGCCTGATGATGTGGGCGGGTCACCCTGCAATTAGTCACATTATTCTCCTGTGAGGGGGGTAGAAGTACTATGAAGGCTTCTTTGTATCGATGCTTTTCCTGCTGATCTGAACTTTGAGTAATGTCATCTGAAATATTATATGCATCGAAATCTTTCAGTCTCATGTGTTGCATAAGATTATTTAATTCAGATGCATGAAACATTTTTTTTTCAGACTGAGCCTTAAGTACAGGTATATTTTTTATAAATTCAGTTTCATTATATATGCACTGCAAAAACCATCTAAAGAGAAAAAAATTCTTAAATTAAGTGTATTTACCATTAATTTGAGTAGGTAAATAAGATAATTTTCCAATGGAATCAGTATTTTTAGTCTTAAAATAAGATAATTAGATAATATTCACTTGAAATAAGACAATGCAATAGTTTTTTCTTATTTTAAATGTAAATTGTCTTGTTCCATTGGCAAAGTGCCTCAAATACCTCGTCAAATCAAGAAAAAATGCACTTATTGCAAGAAAAAAATGACTTATGACTTATGCACTGGAAAAACGACCTAGAAATCAGTAAAAAGTTCTTAAATGAAGTGTATTTACCCTTAATTTGAGTAGGTAAATGAGATCATTTGCCAATGGAATTAGTATTTTTACTTTATTTTTTTTATTACAAAAAAACCCAAAACAATTTGTGCTTTTTCTCTTCCATTTCATTTTTGAAGAGTGCAGAATGTCTGTTATTTTGTCCAGAATAATGTTGCAAAACATGTTTCTGTGCTCTACCAGCAATAAATATTCTCCTGTCAGAAAACGGAAGCTAAAAAATAACATTGTTTAACCCTGTGGGCTGTGAGTATAAGAATAAAAACTAGTTTTAAACAGAACTATGACTGCATGGAGAACTTTTGTTGAACGAATGAAATGGCAATTTATTATTCTGGATGCTGTGTTGTTCAATCAATATCTCCACTGGAGCTTAAATCAATCAGGGATTTATGTTTTTTTAGTCCTTGCCTGTAAAACCAACTTTTGAAAGTTCCTCTTTATCACTTATTGCTTTAAAACTAAACCTAAAACTGTTGTTTTCTGTCAAAAATGATGGAACAGATCAATGTTGAACTTTGTTATCAGATTTCTTTTCATGTTGCATCATTAAATAACTAAATTACTTATCACTGCTGCCAGATTATTCATCAGTTCTGACTAATTTACATCTAAATTAAGTAAATGTTAAAAAAAGCTGGATTTATGTGAATTGTTTTGCAGCTTTCTTCATGTTTACACTCAGTATGTCATGGTCTTAGTTCTGCCATTCTTTACTTTGCTCCTTGTTTTCTAGATTTATTGGTTTAATTCCAGTTTTGTTGTATTTCTAGATTTATATTAGTTCTCATGTTTTCCTGTTGTCCCCTTTTGCCCTCTTGTGTGTGTGTGTGTATGTTCCTTTCCCCTTGGCTCCCTCGTTGTCTCCTCTCACACCTGTTCCTTGTCTGCTCGTTAGCCCTCCCTTTGTCTCTCTCTCCTATATATGCTCTCCCTCTGCTCTCACTCTTTGTTGGTTCCTTGTCTTTGCTGTCCTCCCGTGCTGTTGTCCACATTCCTCGTCTCTCCCTGGCTCCTCGTGTTCGGTTTCCCCCAGATGTCTCCATAGTTCTGATTTGCTTTGATTATTAGTTGGATTTTTGCATTCCTGCCTTTGTTACTGTTTTTGCCCCCATTAAACTTCCCAAGAGTTGTCCTCAGCCTCTGCCTCTGCATTTGGGTCCAAACCACAACTAAACCCTGACAATAGGAACCAACCACAATGGACCCAGCAGAGCCCAGTCTGGACACCCTAAGGGACTTTTTCCTCAATCTAGGCAATACTCTGGACTCAATATCCAACCTTACACCGCCTTGGAAGAGGGTGAGTGCAACCAGCCAACTTAAACAGATTCTCCTCTCAAACTCCACACTCATTTCTCCCCCAGTACTATCTGAACTGTTTGAAGAGTTGGAGTGGAACCACCAAGCAGCCAGCGCCCAGCTCTTCAGCAGACCTCCACCACCGAAACCATCTCTTCATCTCCTCCCTACCCTGCTGTCAATCGCCTCCGGTCCAGTTCCACCATCTTCACCAGCTGTTGGTCCCCCCATGCCGTCTGCCTCCTCCAGGCGTAAGCGCCACCGGGGGAGGAAATCCACTCCCTCTCTGGCGGGTCAGCCTGACGCCTCCACTCCCTCTCCGGCGGGTCAGCCTGACGCCTCCACTCCCTCTCCGGCGGGTCAGCCTGACGCCTCCACTCCCTCTCCGGCGGGTCAGCCTGACGCCTCCACTCCCTCTCCGGCGGGTCAGCCTGACGCCTCCACTCCCTCTCCGGCGGGTCAGCCTGACGCCTGCTTCAATCCCACTCTTCTTCAGGTCAGTTTCCCCTATGGCCTTGGCCGTCACCTCCATGACCAACAGCTAGCCCCATCCTTAAAGAAACTCATTATTACACCCCCTACAGTCAGTGCTCCCCATATTGAGGAGTCTCAATTATGGACCTTCTTTTATGGGGAGAGGGAGGATCTATTCCCTTTCCTTCCACCTCCATCAGTTCCCTGTCAGCCAGCACATCTCAAGCCCTTTAGCGGGCCGGTTTCCCTAGCTCCAGAGCCCTTTAGCGGGCCGGTTTCCCTAGCTCCAGAGCCCAGTAGAGGGCCGGTTTCCCTAGCTCCAGAGCCCAGTAGAGGGCCGGTTTCCCTAGCTCCAGAGTCCAGTAGTGGGCCAGATTCCCTAGCTCCAGAGCCCAGTAGTGGGCCAGATTCCCTAGCTCCAGAGCCCAGTAGTGGGCCAGATTCCCTAGCTCCAGTGCCCAGTAGTGGGCCAGATTCCCTAGCTCCAGTGCCCAGTAGAGGGCCAGATTCCCTAGCTCCAGTGCCCAGTAGAGGGCCAGCTTCCCTAGCTCCAGTGCCCATTAGAGGGCCAGTTTCCCTAGCTCCAGTGCCCATTAGAGGGCCAGTTTCCCTAGCTCCAGAGCCCATTAGAGGGCCAGTTTCCCTAGCTCCAGAGCCCATTAGAGGGCCAGTTTCCCTAGCTCCAGAGCCCATTAGAGGGCCAGTTTCCCTAGCTCCAGAGCCCATTAGAGGGCCAGTTTCCCTAGCTCCAGAGCCCATTAGAGGGCCAGTTTCCCTAGCTCCAGAGCCCATTAGAGGGCCAGTTTCCCTAGCTCCAGTCCCCCTTAGCGGTCCTGTTTCCCTAGCTCCAGTCCCCCTTAGCGGTCCTGTTTCCCTAGCTCCAGTCCCCCTTAGCGGTCCTGTTTCCCTAGCTCCAGTCCCCATTAGCGGTCCTGTTTCCCTAGCTCCAGCTTCCCCAGTGCCTGTGCCCATTAGCGGGGCAGCTTCCCCAGTGCCCATTAGCGGGGCAGCTTCCCCAGTGCCCATTAGCGGGGCAGCTTCCCCAGTGCCTGAGCCCATTAGCGGGGCAGCTTCCCCAGTGCCTGAGCCCATTAGCGGGGCAGCTTCCCCAGTGCCTGTGCCCATTAGCGGTCCAGCTTTCCCAGTGCCCATTAGCGGGACAGCTTCCCCAGTGCCTGAGCCCATTAGCGGGCCGTTTTGCCTAGCGCCAGAGACTCCTGAGCCCATTAGCGGGCCGTTTTGCCTAGCGCCAGAGACTCCTGTGGCCATTAGCGGGCCGTTTAGCCTAGCGCCTGAGACTCCTGTGGCCATTAGCGGGCCGTTTAGCCTAGCGCCTGGGACCCCTGAGCCCGCTCAGAGTCATCCTGATATCCCTGAGCACACAAGTAAAAGGCTCTCTAAAATAAAGCTCAGCGGGCGCTCCAAGCCTCCACGGCCCCTCAGCGGGCGCTCCAAGCCTCCACGGCCCCTCAGCGGGCGCTCCAAGCCTCCACGGCCCCTCAGCGGGCGCTCCAAGCCTCCACGGCCCCTCAGCGGGCGCTCCAAGCCTCCACGGCCCCTCAGCGGGCGCTCCAAGCCTCCACGGCCCCTCAGCGGGCGCTCCAAGCCTCCACGGCCCCTCAGCGGGCGCTCCAAGCCTCCACGGCCCCTCAGCGGGCGCTCCAAGCCTCCACGGCCCCTCAGCGGGCGCTCCAAGCCTCCTCTGAGGCTGTTCCCGTGCCGCAGTCGGCGGCCCCCTCTGAGGCTGTTCCCGTGCCGCAGTCGGCGGCCCCCTCTGAGGCTGTTCCCGTGCCGCAGTCGGCGGCCCCCTCTGAGGCTGTTCCCGTGCCGCAGTCGGCGGCCCCCTCTGAGGCTGTTCCCGTGCCGCAGTCGGCGGCCCCCTCTGAGGCTGTTCCCGTGCCGCAGTCGGCGGCCCCCTCTGAGGCTGTTCCCGTGCCGCAGTCGGCGGCCCCCTCTGAGGCTGTTCCCGTGCCGCAGTCGGCGGCCCCCTCTGAGGCTGTTCCCGTGCCGCAGTCGGCGGCCCCCAAGGTTCCTGCAGCTGCGTCTGAGACGGCGTCCCCCAAGGTTCCTGCAGCTGCGTCTGAGACGGCGTCCCCCAAGGTTCCTGCAGCTGCGTCTGAGACGGCGTCCCCCAAGGTTCCGGCAGCTGCGTCTGAGACGGCGTCCCCCAAGGTTCCGGCAGCTGCGTCTGAGACGGCGTCCCCCAAGGTTCCGGCAGCTGCGTCTGAGACGGCGTCCCCCAAGGTTCCGGCAGCTGCGTCTGAGACGGCGTCCCCCAAGGTTCCGGCAGCTGCGTCTGAGACGGCGTCCCCCAAGGTTCCGGCAGCTGCGTCTGAGACGGCGTCCCCCAAGGTTCCGGCAGCTGCGTCTGAGACGGCGTCCCCCAAGGTTCCGGCAGCTGCGTCTGAGACGGCGTCGCCGGTGTCCTCCAGAGGCCCTCCTCCGTCCTCCAGAGGCCCTCCTCCGTCCTCCAGAGGCCCTCCTCCGTCCTCCAGAGGCCCTCCTCCGTCAGAGACGGCGTCGCCGCCGGCGTCCTCCAGAGACCCTCCTTCGTCAGAGACGGCGTCGCCGCCGGCGTCCTCCAGAGACCCTCCTTCGTCAGAGACGGCGTCGCCGCCGGCGTCCTCCAGAGACCCTCCTTCTTCAGAGACGGCGTCGCCGCCGGCGACCTCCTGGGGCCCTCCTCCTTCAGAGACGGCGTCGCCGCCGGCCCCCTCCAGAGAGCCTCCTTCGTCAGAGACGGCGTCGCCGTCCTCCTGAGCTTCTGCCTCGCCTCCGGCCTCACGGCCGCCCTCCAGAGACTCTTCCTGGCCTCCGGCCTCACGGCCGCCCTCCAGAGACTCTTCCTGGCCTCCGGCCTCACGGCCGCCCTCCAGAGACTCTTCCTGGCCTCCGGCCTCACGGCCGCCCTCCAGAGACTCTTCCTGGCCTCCGGCCTCACGGCCGCCCTCCAGAGACTCTTCCTGGCCTCCGGCCACACGGCCGCCCTCCAGAGACTTTGTTTGCCCTCGCCCACCTTGGGTGGGTTGTTTTGGTTTTGTTTGGACTCTGCGTTTGGTTTTGTATTTCGTGCCCTCCTTCCTGGTTCCCCCTCCGCCCACCCAGGGTGGGTTGTTTTTTGTTTCTGGACATTTTAGGGCGTCTGGGATCCGCCCTTAAGTGGGGGGCACTGTCATGGTCTTAGTTCTGCCATTCTTTACTTTGCTCCTTGTTTTCTAGATTTATTGGTTTAATTCCAGTTTTGTTGTATTTCTAGATTTATATTAGTTCTCATGTTTTCCTGTTGTCCCCTTTTGCCCTCTTGTGTGTGTGTGTGTGTATGTTCCTTTCCCCTTGGCTCCCTCGTTGTCTCCTCTCACACCTGTTCCTTGTCTGCTCGTTAGCCCTCCCTTTGTCTCTCTCTCCTATATATGCTCTCCCTCTGCTCTCACTCTTTGTTGGTTCCTTGTCTTTGCTGTCCTCCCGTGCTGTTGTCCACATTCCTCGTCTCTCCCTGGCTCCTCGTGTTCGGTTTCCCCCAGATGTCTCCATAGTTCTGATTTGCTTTGATTATTAGTTGGATTTTTGCATTCCTGCCTTTGTTACTGTTTTTGCCCCCATTAAACTTCCCAAGAGTTGTCCTCAGCCTCTGCCTCTGCATTTGGGTCCAAACCACAACTAAACCCTGACACAGTATGTTTATTTTTGCTTCTCTAGATCATCACAGTTTCCTGCATTCTTCCTACGGAGAGAACCTGAAGATGAAGCTCTACCAGCACTACTCCAACCTCAACGTGGTCTTCAGGTCCAAAAAGGACAACCAGGAGCGCGTCATAGTGAACCAGGGGGCTCTGGTGACGCCGCTGGACCCTCAGCTGGAGGGACGGCTAACGGTGGACGGCTCGGTGCTCGTCCTGAAGAAGATCCACAGCACAGATGAAGGAGTCTTCAAAGTGACGGACCTGGCTGGCTTTTCTGTGGCTGATATTTACATCAGTGTAGAAGGTAATGAAGACGTCTTTTATCAGTTCTTATTAAAGCCTCATTTTGACTTGATATTAATGACGATGGTTCGATCTGAAAGCTTCAGCTGCGGCAGATTTAATAATTATGAACCTCTCTGGTCTAATAAAGAAATCACATTTGCACTTTGGTTCAGAAAAAAATATTCTTTACAGTGCTGATAAAAAATAAAAATCCTTACTTAATGTTTTATTCTTCTTCTGTTGTTATGGCTCAGAAACAAGGGGCCCTAATGAATGAGAAAAAATCATTAAAAATGTTAAATGCTGCCAAAATTTGATCATTAATAAAAACCTAGAATCAAACATTAGAATAAAAACAGAAACACGAAATTACAAAAAGATAAAAACAAAAAAACAAATCCAACGGTCCTATGCCACTATGTCACGACAGCATCTTGATGAAATCACTCCATTGTTATGGACCCCTGATTCATGCTGACGTCGTCATGGGAACAGAAAGGTTCCACCATCTTTCCCTAACAGAACAGGTGTGATAAAAACATCCTACATACCAAATGTGACCCGTTCCAATCGGCTGGGTCTGAATCTCAGTCACTTCTTAGGCTTTGTTGGTATTAACTAGTTAAATTCATTTAGACTTAGCTTTGTAACTAGTATAAGAAAAATGGCTTTTAGGTGTAATTCTTTACCATACTCCATCTACTTTTCTTTAAGATACATTTTTGTAGGAGTATTGCCTGTGAATAAACTTACATTCTACCATAAGTAACCTCTGAGATCAGGTGAATAAACAGCAACAGTAGACGTTGCTGCACTGCAAAGAAAGATAAATAAATCAGTTTTTCTTTACGAAAGTGTATTTTTACTTCTCTTGTGTAAGAAAAACAAATTCCCGATGGAATAAGAACATTTATATTTTAAATAAGAAAAAAAAATATCTTGTTTGTACTGCATAATATCTCATTATTTTATTTTAAGTGCAAACATGTTTCAATTGGCAGGTCATTTTTTCCCTTCTCAAATTGAGGGAAAATTTTAGGAAATATGTACTTTTTAAAATCTTAAAATCACTGTTAGCATTGTGGAAGTTCTTTATCCTTTCCTAACTTTTTGATTACATGCTGTAAGATTTAGAGGTTTAACACAAAGAAATATTTGTTACCTCTTCCAGAGATTTTTTAAAAATCGTTTTACAAGAATTTGCATATAACTCATTGTCTTATTACATCATGTGAAACATAATACTTTAATTTAAGAATAAAATAAATGTATTTGCCCTTAATTTTCCAAAGGATTGAGTATTTTTGCCCTTAGAATAAGAGAATTCAACACGCTGAAATTAATATGAGATAATGGAATTGTTTTTTTGTTATTTCAAAAGCAAATGACGTATTTCATTGGAAAATAGTTTGCGTCAGTGAAATTATATATTGAGTTTTTATGCATTAAATCCCATATTATGAGCCAGAAAAAGCTTTTATTTTAGCCATTTTACTCTTTAACTCTTGAGTCATTCCAGATTTGCTTCTCTTTCTGAGTAAAGCATTTGGATAGTCTACCTACCTCATGCTGCAGGACAGACTTGCTGCTTGTTTTCAGGCCTGATGTGGGAACAAAGCCACGTCTGTTCTACCTGCTCTGTATTCCCGCTGGATTTTATTTCACATCACAGCAGAAAGGTCACATGAGTGCAGATTTATTATATTTCCAGCCATCCATCTGGATCTGCTCCTTGGTTTTGTCAGTAACTGTAACCCTGTTGGTGTGTCCGAGCGTCCTTCGTATCGACTTTGATTATATTCCTCTGCAGTCAAGGACAGCGCAGCCATAAAAATGACAGATTACAATATGGCTACAGGGGTTATGTTGTATTGATTAATGCATGAAAAGGAGCAAAACATTTGTCTTACATCTCTTACATAACTCCTCATCATCTTACCTTTCCAGACTTTCCTCTGAGACATTTCTCTGCTCTGCATTGCAATGATTTCTCTATTGCAGCCCTTAGATGCTAACTGACCACTGCGGCTCCTCATTAAATACATACAGTCCCTCTAAATGCCAAAATCAATCCTGCAACAGATGCATTTGAATCTGTGGCCTTTAATTATCATGCATCTGATCATGCATCTCAGAAGCCCTCATGATCAGATGTCACCTTTCAGGTCTACATGCAAAATAAATAAACTCAGACTTTCTGACCTCAGAAGAAGCTCAGGAGTTTTGTTTTGTTTTGCACCTTGTCTACAGCACTGATGAATAGAGGATCTCCAAGTGTGTCCTGTTAAAATGGATTCCTCTTGTGTTTATTTCCAATTTGAAGAGCCATGCTTGCAACTGCTGAAGCCTCATTATTTCCCCTCATGTCTCTAATTTCCAGCCTACCAGCTGCCCCCCGTGGCTGTCGCCATCCTGTCCATGCTGGGCCTGATCGTCTTCATGGTGCTGGTCTGCCTGCTCTCCTGCCTTTACAGGATTCATAAAAGAAACGAGAAGAACAAGAAGCTGACGCTCATCGCTCAGCAGGCCGGGAAGGGAGACGGAGAAGCCTTCAGACAGGTAATTTTCTACAGCTGGGCTTTATTTTTTTACTGTAGATTATTTTTAGAGAGGGATGTAAGACGCAGTTTGATGGTTTCGGAGGAGCTCAGTATTAGCGCAGCTTGTTATCCAAAAAGAGTGACGTGTGTGACAGTTTGAGGGGGATTAAAGATAGAGGACGGTTCTGCTCCTGCTGTGGCAGTCAAGATGGTCGGCTTCCTCGCCTGCAGAGCCGGTCCTGATGAGAGCCGAATTCAACGAAAACCCCATGAGTGACGAAGAACCATGGGGACATCATTATTCCTTCAACCCTCACGCCAGCTCAGCTAAGCAAAGCTCACATTTTGGTTCCTGTCACACCCAGGTTCAGTGAGGCTGGTTGCAGAACAAGGAAGTGGAGTTTTTTTTAGGCTGCAGTCCACTAAGGGCTCAAAGCCATCTGTCAAAGAAACTTCCCTAGCTCCTATATTCAGATCTGAGCAAAATAGAGTGAAACTATTGTTGAGCTGGAGGAGTATCAGCTGCTGCACTTAAATAACTCCTTTAAAATGAGTGGAAAGCAGGACGGCATCCTGTCAACACATGAACAAGAACGGCTTTAAAAGCTGGATGCTGTTCTGGTGCTTTTAAAGTAAAAGCCACCACAGAGAGTGAGAAGAAAAGCCTCATGATTTGATTAGTAATCTCCATAACAACTGAAAGCCTTTGCATCCCACATGCATTGGTGAGCGCTTCATCTTTTGGACCAATTTTAATATATATTTAGCATTACAGACTGAAGGCAACCAACAATAACTACAACTTTGCAGGTGCTCTTTAAAGCATAACCTTTCACCTTACTGTCACTAAATTTGAGATGTATATATATATTTTTTTTCAGGTCAATAGGTTTCAAAGCTCAGTGCAGACTGACCTGAAAAAAAATCACCATGTTACCTGAAAGCAGCGATGTTTTTAGAAAAAATCTACCTGGATGGGGCTGGTGGTTTTTCATAAAGGCAAAAAAACAACAAACAAAAACAAAAGAATGAAACAAAAAACAGGAAAATAATGAATCTTTTAATACAGTGAGTCTCAGAGTTAAAAGGCTGCAGACCCTAAACTAGCACATTATCATGTCTTGATATGGCAAAGGCAAAATACATCACTTTCCTCTTTGAAGGATGGTTTAATAAAAATGCCAGAGTCTAAAATGAAATGTTTCAAAGGGACCAAACAGATATGGCTTCTGTGTCAGTGAGTCATCATTAATAACAATTGAACTTTATTAATCTCCCATTGGAGAATTTTACCTCTACATTTAATTAATTAATTGATTGATTAATGGATTAATTGTAGGGTTAAGGGTCTTGCTCAGAGACCCAGCGTGGCAGTCTGTGTGTCAAGTGTTTCAGTAACTGCACCCCACCGTTGAAAGTGGTGGACCCATGACTTTAAGAGTGTAGCTGGATTTACTCAGACAGAGCAGTAGACACTTTTTCCATTCTATTTTTTTTTTACTTATTTCCCCATTTTTGTCTTGAGGTAAAAACCTCAGGACAGAAAGACAGTTAGGATGATTAGTGAACACAAAATATAGGACACACAAACTATAAATGGCTTCAGAATAATTTAACCAGTCTAATCTCCATATATACATGACAGAGTTTTACAAAATGTTGCACAATTATTGCATCTTGCCTAGACATTTAGCCATAAATACCATATAATACAACCCCATAAAGCACAACATTAGCAGGTCAGTGCAACACGGTGGGAATGGGGTTCGAAATCAGAACCTCAGGATTCCAATCTCTATGCCAATCTCTATTCCAATCTCATTGTCTCTCTTATTGCTTTAGTATTATGCTTACTGTAGAGGTGCCATAGCAGAGATGGGGAGCTATTATATAGGGGCATTGGCCCCTGTTGGCCCCTGTCTAGAACCACCCTTGCTTGACAGGGCCTAATCCGTCACTGAATGAGTCATGGCACCCAGAGTGCTGCTTTACAGCAGCCTGAGCTCCTCCTACACACGGCAGCTAACCATTAGAAGTTACAGTTCTCCATTTTTTCTCCTCTTTTAAACGCCTTAAGTATGTGGACAAAATGTCCATCTTTTAGCATTTCATCCACAATACTGTGGCTCATAGTTTCCCCAGTCTACACAAACAACTGCAAACAGTAAAGGTCAGGGTTGGCTCCTTTTCCTGAGAAGAAATATGTGGGAATTACTGCGATAAAAGAGAAGAGGAACAGTTTGACAACATCCAATATATAACAATAAGTATAAGAAGGATTAGGTTTCATTAAATCCCAGTTCAAACTATAAAGAATATTTTGAGTTTAAGTTGTTTATTTTATAGCTCAGCAGCTAAAAGTTAGCTGGACTCTTTTGAGACTTTTTTTCAGGGATTTTCTATTATTTTCATAGCGGCTCACATTTGCACACTTATAGACTCTGATCCCAGTTCAAAAAGCTTAAAATTAATTCTTTGTTTCTCCAAACTAAAACCACATGAATGCCATCCACTGTAGGTGGAACCCATTTATGATACTATTAATAAAAACTCCAAACAACCCCTTTTTAAAGGATCCAAACTATATTATTAAGCTTTAAAATTCAGCTGAACTTGGCCTTTTTGTGACTTTAGCACAAAGAAATGTTGTTTCTTAAACCCACATTAATAAGCCTAGTTTTGTGTTTCTTTGTAAAGATTTTTTTTCTTTTCCACTACCTGAGAAAATCAGCACATTTCTGCCTTGAGCATCATGATTAGCTGACAAATTACCATGCATTTATTCATTTAACTCCTACCAGGAAACATTTGATTTGTACTTTGTTCTATTGTTCATGACTGATTATACTTTTATGCTTCTAATCAGCCTTTGGACAAGGTGTTTATTTAAAATAATGAACTATGTTCTACAAAAGAGCCTTTTTTTTAGGAAATTACAATTTTTTATCCTTCTTTAAACATGAATTTTGAATAAAACGACTTATTATCTGTACTATTGTTGCCCTGCTTTATACCGGCTGATTAACTGATTTTGTAATGTGAAGTTAAACCTGATTATTCACCAAAAATAACATCTGAATTTCAAATAAAAGGCTTACCTTTTAAAGAGCACCCACACATTAGCTGCATAAATTATTCATTATTCTGAACAATAGACGCGTAATTCTGACATTATGGGCTTAATTAGAAACAATATACGTCTCAATCAGCTGTAGACTGAATAAAAAGGAATACATATGGGATCCGTTCCATATCTTAACATCAAAACGCTGCGTTTTGACATTAGAGATAATTAGCGGGAACTATTCTCTGAAGCTTTTTGCTTAATTTTGAGTGTCATTTGAAGTTGATGTTCCCCTCTTTCCTCTAGCAGTCTTCACAGCAAATGTTGCTTGAAAGTAATTGAATCTTCAGAGCAATTAAAACGCCACTGCAGGCAGAAGAGTCGCTCATCATAAACAACAGCCGCAGAGACTGATCGCTTTGCAGGGATGATTAGGTTATACCAAGTGTTTGCAGTAATGATATGCCACATCACAGGCTGCGATTATTTATGCCTCACTTCAGGTCACAATTGTTCTGGGATGTAAGTTAATAAATGTTTCAGACTTTACGTACGGGAGGCCTGACGGCGCTCTTACTACTAAATCCAACAAATTTAGCCGTTTGACAGCAAAGCAGATTCTTTACATGAATATCAGAAAAAAGAAAATTGTTTTCACTTACCTAAAATTCTTCCTGTAGTCTTTAAGTCTACAGGAAATATGTTAATATTAATTCTGATGGAAACGGCTTCACATGGTATTTCAGCCTAATTTTGTTGCTTTAACAAAGTTTAAAGGAATAGTACACCCAAAACATGATTAGCCTTCATTTTCTACTCACCTCCATGCTGAACAACACTCTGGAGTACTTTTTTGATATCTCAAATGCATCTGGAGATCTGGGAGGCTTCTTGCTGTCTGCTGACATTCAAATAATGGAGGTCCATGGCGCCCGAGACAGGTCCATAAAAGTCCACAAAAACGTGTCAATATTCCTCCATACTGCTCGTCCAATGTAATCCAAGTGTCCTGAGTGGGTAGCATCCAGAATTTACTCGAAACGAAGTCATTTAGAATGTTTTTAGAGCATAAACAGTAGTGTATAGGATTACCTAATAGCGCCCCCATGCGCGCTCGCGATTCTACGGAAGCCGGCAGACCAAACCAGCGCATTCAGCTCGGCAAAGAACTCATGCTCTTCCTCAACACTGAAGTCCTCAGACATTTTTCTTTCGTTTCTTTCTTTGCACAGGTAAACAGCACATTTCTTCTTCTACGCTTGCATTATCGGCAGACCAGACGCTGAATGCGCACTCTCTTCCGGTTTGGTCTGCCGGCTTCCGTAGAATCGTGAGCGCGCATGGGGGCGCTATTAGGAAATCCTATACACTACTGTTTATGCTCTAAAAACATTCTAAATGACTTCGTTTCGAGTAAATTCTGGATGCTACCCACTCAGGACACTTGGATTACATTGGACGAGCAGTATGGAGGAATATTGACACGTTTTTGTGGACTTTTATGGACCTTTCTGCCTCGGGCGCCATGGACCTCCATTATTTGAATGTCAGCAGACAGCAAGAAGCCTCCCAGATCTCCAGATGCATTTGAGATATCAAAAAAGTACTCCAGAGTGTTGTTCAGCATGGAGGTGAGTAGAAAATGAAGGCTAATCATGTTTTGGGTGTACTATTCCTTTAAGATAATTTATTCCATGTTAATTTTTCTTTTGGTAGAAAAGCTCACTTAATTCACTTTTCACTACTAACTTTTATCAATGTTTTTTTTACAAAGTTTTATTCGATCTCCATTCTGTGCAGAATAAAAATCCATAGAAATAACAGGCAATCTAATTGAAGAATTCAGCAATGAACAATAGAAAAACTAGGAGCTTAAATGCCAAAGCAGAAAGATAATAAAGGAACCAGATCGGCTAATTAAGGAAATATAGAAAAGCTGTGCCTGAATAAAAGCA